TCCGCGGAGCCGCTCACGAAGCGGCGGCTGTCGGGCAGCCAGGCACACGAGCTCACCGTCTCACGGTGATGGCTGAAGGGGCCCCCGGGGGAAAGAGGTGAAAGGGGGGGGGGGGAGAGATGAAGGTGAAAAGGGGGGAAAGGGGAAGGAGGTGAAGGGGGGGGGAAGGGGTGGAAGAAGTGAAAGGGGGAAGAGGTGGAGTGGGGAAGAGGTGGAGTGGGGAAGAGGTGGAGTGGGGAAGAGGTGGAGGGGGGTGGAGGGCGGCGACGGATCAGGGTGGCCAGGGAAAGAGGTGTTGAGATAAAGAGAAAGAAAGAGAGAGAGAAAAGGAGAGAGAGAGCAGGGGGGGAAGGGAAGGGGGAAAAGGGGGAGGAAGGCGTGGATGTGGGTTGAGGGTGGCGTGCTGCATCATTAGAAGTGGTGGTGGAGATTGGAGCATCATCATCAATAACAGCAGTAGCAACAGCAGCAGCAGCAGCAGCAGCAGCAGCAGCAATACCAATCGCAACTATATCGGCAGCTAGTTCCGTGGACTTGCATACATTCCCCCAAACCCGCACCCCCATTTCCCCTCCCACCCCCTTCCCCCCCTTATCAACACCTCACCTGCAGCTCTGCAGCAGCTGCCCAGTGGCCACGTCCCACACGCGAAGAGTCTCTCCGCTGAGAACAGTGAGATGACGTGGACAAAGCAAACCCGAGCGAGCAAATGGCGGGCGGGTGGGTAGGGATCAAGGCGGGGCGGGAGGGTAAGATGAACCACTGACGATTGAAGCAAACATACCACAGAAAGACGGAAAGTAGTCCAGGGGAAGACAATTACCATTACCGCATCAGATATATTAACTGACCGATGACGATTTGGGTTAGGAAGGTAACACATGTGCAAGGAAACAAGGAATTAACGCTGCCTGAATCAAAACTGCCTAAGTTAACTGCGTTGGTGTGCGTGTGGAAAGGGAGTCAAAAGCAAAAAGAGAGAGTACGGACCAACTGCCGACGATGCCGCCATCACTTCCACGGCTCGGTCCCTCCACTTCCTGTCACCATAAACACAAAAGCAGCACAATACATAATGTAATCAAACAACAACAGCCGCAGCAAGCAACAGCAGAGGTACCCCCTCGACAACGGGTAGCACCACCTCAAGATCCTCCCCCCTTCCCCCTTTGTAGTAGCTGGTACACAGTACGGCACACATAACCTCTACAAATCCGCGCTTAGCGCGACCGCCAGCATCTCGAGAGGCCTTTTCAGCGGCCAGCTACTACACCCTTCCTCCCTCCCCCCTTCCTCCCTTCCCCCTCCCGCATATCCGGCGTACCAGTCTATCCTTAGCATCAGCTTCACTGGTTCACGTGATTTGCCTCCCCCCCCCCTCCCCGCACCTGCACGTAATGATCTTGCGGTCATCCGGACTCCAACACAACAGCGCCACGGGTTGCGAGTGGCCACCTAGGACGTGCATGAGCTCCAGTCGGGAGCGCTGGTGGACGGACCAGAGAATGGCGGTGCGGTCCTGTGGAAAACAACGAGGGGGGGAGGAGGGGGGGGAGGAGAAGGAGGGGGAGGAGGGGGAGGGGGGGGAGGGGGGGATTTATAACATGCCAAGCCAAGGCGAGTATCTGCAGACATGCTAAGTTGCTAATTGGGAGGCCAGCAGGGCAGGGCAGGGCAGGGCAGGGGAGGGCAGGGCAGGGCAGGGGAGGGCAGGGGAGGGGAGGGCCGGGCCCTCCAGGGCCGACACAAGACGAAGAAATGGAAGGAAAAAACACAGGCTGACGGACTTCTTGGGCGGACATCCCGTCAGTAGCCCTCCAGAACAAAAACACGCAACGTGTCATCAAAACCCTCTCCCCCCTTCCCTACGGACCCACGCCCAATAACGCCCTTCGTCCTGGATGATACGTTCGGGTGTTCGGTCGGCAGTGTACCTACCATTTCTACCATGTAACCCCGTGCCGCCACCGCCACCACCACCACCGCCATCATCACCACCACCAGTACCACCGCCGCCATCATCACGACCCAGGCTGGTTCACCCATAACGCCCACACCCCCGTCATACACGTGTGCGTGTGTGTGTTTCGTCAGGGCCCGCCACCTTGACGTCGCTTAATAACCCCGAACCCCCCCGCCCCCATAGTCTCCCAGGTTAGATACATACACACATACATACATACCATACACGCTGTTAGTCGTACCTTGGATCCTGTCGCCAGCATGGTACCGTCATGAGAGAAAGCCACATGCCACACCTCGTCGGTGTGCTGGTCTAGAACCTGAAAGGGGGCCCATAGGGGGAGGGCGGGGGAGGGCGGGGGAGGGCGGGGGAGGGCGGGGGAGGGCGGGGGAGGGCGGGGGAGGGCGGGGGAGGGCGGGGGAGGGCGGGGGAGGGCGGGGGAGGGCGGGGGAGGGCGGGGGAGGGCGGGGGAGGGCGGGGGAGGGCGCGGGGTAAGATGGCGGACGAGAGGAAGGGGGCCCCAGGGGGGGAGGGACGAGGGACAATTTACACACGCAATCCGCCATGAGGTCGAGGGAGGGGAGAGATGGGAGGGAGGCGGGGAACGACGGGAGAAAAAGGTGGGGATACAAAAGAACGGGGGAGGGGCTGTGACGCCCACACAGCAACCACACCGATGCTGATGAGTTAGTTCTGTAGGACGCGAGGCGAGAGGAATTGTACTACAACCGGTGGGGGGGGGAGGGGATCATATGCAAGAAACTTTTAGGATTCAAACCCCCCAGCGGCGTAGGAAATACGGGGATAAGACTCCCCGGAGGGGTGATGAAACACACCTTAGGGCAGTTTCACACCACCCATCACCCATAAAACCTACCCTCACTATCCACCTGCACCGTACCACCGTACTACCGTACCAGTTGACAAAACCCGCAGGCAGTAGATTTCCCCCCCCCATCCCCCTCTTACACCCCCCCAAACCCCGCCAAACCCCACCTGCACCGTGTTTGTGGGCAGGCACTCCAACCCCGCGTGGTAGTCGGTGAACAGAGACAGCCGGGATTCAGCCGCGTTGTGGAAGGGACAGCGGGACATCTGAAACGAGACGACGTCGTAACGTCGTAACGCGGAGATGTGGAGGAGAAAAACACGGGCAGTTGAGGGGGGGTTAGATGACCCACTGGCAAATGAAGCAGATACCAGAGACTTCAGGAGGGGGGCACAGAAGTAAAAAAAGGTAAAGAGATCGGTTGGAAAAAGATTTTTTTGTCCTTGTTGTTGCGGTGGCGGTGGGGGAGGTGAGCCGGGGTGGGCTGGGAATCGCCGCCACGAAACACAGACATGCACGCAAAAGACGCATTCAAATGCCACACATAGATACAATATGCCTACTCGTGGCCCAGTTCTCGCGCACCGACCGACCGACCGACCGACACACCGACCGACACGGCATGAGCCCCAACACCCCTCCTCTCTATTGTTTATGTGTCATTTTAGTAAACTAGTATTACACATAAACAATACTGGAGCCGTGTTCCCCCCCCCGGGGCCGTGTTCCCCCCCGCCCGGGCCGTGTTTCCCCCCCCCCCGGGGCCGTGTTTCCCCCCCCCCCGGGGCCGTGTCCCCCCCCCCCCGGGGCCGTGTTCCCCCCACCTGCGCCTCCAGAGCTTGCTCCACCAGTACCTCCAGGCGGCCCTCCGGAATCATCAGATTAGGAGGCAGCTTGGACTGCACAGCGACAGGTAGCAGCGGCAGTGACAGGTAGCAGCGGCAGTGACAGGTAGCAGCGGGGTGGATGAACAGGAGTAACAAAATGCACAGCAGCAGCAGCAGCTGCGGAACAGACTCCACAGCATTGGCCGAGGAGTGTGCGTGTCTGTCTGAGTGTACGGAATGCGGGCGACACGAAACATGATTACCACTCGACCCGGGAGATGCACACACAGACAAAAACACACACACGCGCGCAAACACGCGCGCGTGATTACGCCCCCGACAGACAAACGCAAACACAGGCACGGTTGTTAGCAATTGCGCTGTCATTACTGCACTGTCCCGGCCCCTCGCCCCACCCCACCTCTGGCGCCACACCCCACCCCACCTCTGCCGCATCAGCCATGGCATCAGCTTCACTCGCTCGTGGTTCGTCTTCCCACCCCACCCCACCCCACCCCGCCCCACTCGGCATGGGTTCATCCCCCATCCCCACCTGCAGCAGTGACATCAGGTGGTCGCGGTGAGCCGCCCCGCCCCCCAGCCAGGACGTCCGGACCGCGGGGTCGCCAGCGGAAGGACACAACAGCAGCGCTGCGGCAGGGTAAGGGTCATACATACATGTAAACACGCAGGAATGACGGAGGAGGCACCGTTCGTATAACAACAAGTAAACACGCAAACGACGCCTGAGTCGGCATCCGCCCGGGGAGCTCGTCCTGTCCGTCGCCGATCCATCCCGCCGTTCCGAAACCAGCATCTAAATCCCCCTTGGCACCCCTCCTCCCCCCACTTGCTCGCTTACCCCCCCCGCCCGCCACAGCCTTTCTTTACCGTCTGCCCCTCATTAGGGCCCGTCCTTAGCCGCACGTCATTTGGCACCCCTTTCCTAACAGAACGTAACATACAGGGAATGAATTGGGCCTCTTGATAGGGTGAATGAGGTCTCTTTAAAAAAGAGTGACCTGTCCGTTTCCCCACACTGGCGGTTCTCTAGCTCCGTGTCTAGCTCCGTGTCTCACACCCGCACACCCACCGGCACAAGGTCAGCAGCTCCCCCCTCCCGCCTCCGGAGGTCCCGCCCGTAGCTCCACACGGGGACCTTACCGCGCCCCCCCCCACACACACGCATACACACGCGCCCCGCGCGCATGGCCCCTCCTTTCACACATCCCTACCTGCAAGGTGATGCAGCTGCTGGTCATGCACCCCCAGCGGCGCCATCTCCAGGCGAAGGCAGGTCAAAGCTGATCCCAGGTCTTGTCGCTCCAGCGCCTCCAGATACTTCTGCTGTAGGATTAGAAACCTGGAACACGGAGGCGGAGCGAGGACTCACCCACAGCTACATACCTAATTGCTCTCACACTTTCTCCGTCAAGGGCCAACGAAGAAGATTTTAGCTGCTGCAGCGCTCAGGAGCTCCATCGTAGTGGGGGCCGGGAGAAGGACCCGATACGCGGGTGGGGAGAGAGAGAGAGCGGAAAGGAGAGAGAAAGCGAGCGAGAGAGAGAGAGCGCAGCAGCAGCAGCAGCACTTCCTCCTTCCTCAGCCGCCCAGTTTTTCGTGCAATTCACCAATGAACACAACACCGGGAAGATCTTCGAAAGAAGCTTTCAACATGCATCCATAGTACGACCCCGGCGTTCGGCATGCCTTGGCACAACTTTGGCAGGACTTACGAGCCCAAAACGGAATCCCATTCCGTATCTCCACATTGACAACATTTTGAGCCTGACCCAGATCGTAAATCTCTGCACGCGGCCCTGCTGCACCCTCCAGAGCTTCCGAATCTCACTTGGCGTCCTTGATCACGTCCTCCTGCGTTGTCAGCTGAGGCAACAGCGCTATGGCCGCGTCCCATTGCCCGGCCATCACCGCGGTCTGGAATTCGGTGACGTGGGCTGGTTGCATTTGGACGCCCTGTACTCGGCACAGCGAGGGCAGTTTTTTAAAACACAGATGCGATCGCAAGCGGAATAGAAAGCGGGGATCTGGACAAGGAAACGGATAACAATACAGGTCATGGTAGAAAAGCGAAAAAAGGAGATGCGCAGACGTGAGGGGGAGGTGAGAGAGTATGGAGAGGGATGTATGAGGGTATGATGTGTGAAACAGGGGGGTGTATCTTCGCCCGTGGCAGCTACCCTGCGAAACCCTGCCTTCCCCGGTATGTCGGGGCACCCTCATCCAGTCACCCTAGTCAACTTCTCAGTGGATCGTTCAGGTTCCGCACCCACCACCAGCATCCAACGGAATCTGCCGGGTCGACAGCGGCCCAACTCCGTTCCTGGTCGGCTCGCAGGTTAACTTTATCCCAGGTCACCACCGTCCATCAACTAGGGGCGCAATGCCTTCCACCATCGGAAGGACTTTTGACCCTAACGGGTATCGATCCCGGGATCTCCCGGGGGCAATGGTCGCGCCTTACCAGTGGTGCCAAACCCTTAAAAGGGTATGTATGCCACAGGCGGCACAGCACATTGCTGTGGCCACATCATATGTGACAATTTGTTTAAAACGAGGCTCACCCTTGCTCAGGGAGACATGCTGTTGCCCAAGCACGGGCGTCAGGCAGCTGTTACCTAACGTTGGTGCAATGCAGTCAGACCCGGAATGGTATTGTTCAGGGCTCCCGGACGTAAATTTTTGCAAAGATCCTGCTTTCGATTCGTAAAATTCGCGTCTCAAAAGCAACCTGCATTTGGCGCTACACTGGGCTGTGCGCAAGCCCACCGTGGCCCATGGACCAGCTAGTCACCCAAAAGCAGTAATCCGAACCCCACACGCTTGCAGTGACGTGAAATGCTAAGAAAACTGAAATGAAAGTGTCTTCAGACTACATACGCAAAGAAAAACCCAACCACGATTTCGACGAAATTCGGCAACGAGCCCTCCCTCTGCACCTAAAGACGCCCACATGTGGAGGAAGTACAAATGCTACAATATACGCACCGCTTGATGTTCTAAAAGGCTTGCAACTTCAGCATAGCCAAGGCGATGGAGTGCCTGCTCAAGAAGGCGCACGAACTCGGTGCGATTGATAAGCTTTCGAGGTCCCAATCGCTCCTGCACAGAATGCTGGCCCCCAACTCCGTCCATGTCCTCTGTGTGCCCGTTCATAGTCGCACTCTGCCAGAGACAAGGCTCCGCCGGTATGAGGGCGCGCTCCCCCTATGACGCTTTGGCCCAAGACAAATTCTATTCAGTCGCAGTTACAAGAAGTTAATTTGGAAAGGATGCCAAGCAATTGAAACATAGCTCTTTCAGCGGAAACTAGGGCTCTTGTGGGACATTCAGATAAAGGTTGCAGAAGCCATTGCTGCGTACTAGAACCCTGGTCTGACCCCATAAACAAAACAGAAGAGCAGTAGCGACAGGTTTCTTTGGATGACGGTCCATGTACGGATGCCGCCGTACAATCAGGGCTTCCGGGCAGAATGTCCAAAAGCTTCATCCCGGTGCCCGGTGCCTAACCCACTTCACAAACTAGCCACTTGATCGCTTGCCAAGGCGATATTGCGTGGTTTAGGCAAGGGCACCAAAACCAGAGCAAATCCCTTTTTTTTCTATGGAAGGGAACGGACGTGCTGAGGTGGATCTCAAACCCGCTTTCCTGCTCCTTCCCTTCCCCGAGATGCAGGAGAGGCGAAGCCGTGTAACTCCCATCGGTAATGGCTGCTTTTCCTGAATTTAGCATAACATGATAGGCTTCTGATCAGCTTCTGATAGCCCAACGAATTTCGCAATCGGGCACAGTCCCCCTCCATTCCCCAAGCCACATTATCTGCTAAACCCCTTCGTGTACCGTTCCCTACGGCAGCAGCTTAAACTCGCCACCATGCATCCATTTGGGTCGCGACACAAGACTTGGTTCAAGGTGTCGTTCAGCACAGTAAGCACAGCAGCGCCACCACAGCGTCCTGAACAACTTGTTTTTTACTGCTCCAAAGTTTTCAAAGGTTTTCCTGCATGCAGCTGATGCACCCCTGTCGCGTGTTACTGCACCCGTATGTTACTCAGACGGCCTGAGCTGTCAGCAGCCCATGCATACGTGCATGCCATACAACTGTCTTGCAGGGTCTCATTCTTCGCGTCAGCTGGCAGAGATGCTGCCGGAATGTAAGCTATGCGCCAAGGTAACTGCCCGGCACTCATTCCGTGAAGTACGATAATGCAACAACGCGCGCCATGGCGCCTTGGCTTGTGCATAGCGCAGCCCAGCACGCGTAATGGAGCGCGTCGTAAAGCATCGACATCTAACCAACTGAACTAATGCCTTGGGGAAGCGTCATTACCACAACGGAAGCCATGTCTGCATGCGCACCTCTCCTCGCCAATCGATCAGGCCTGGCTAAACCCAGCCCAAGCGGACGAAACTTAGCCTGTCCAACCGAGCAGCGCCCAACCCAACGCCCCGATTGCTCGAACCAATGTCCCCAGCCTCTGCCCCAAATCCAACTATGCTGCGGCTGCGTGCAAGTCTTGTGCCCGAATTGAACTTTCGGAATAATGAAGATTGCCGCCAGCCATGCTTGTGCGGAAAGGAGACAGCCTGCAACGCCAAACGCGTCATGGCGAGGCATATAGGACGGGTCTGTTTGATGCGTCCACCTCAGCATGTCACGCTTAGTTGTGGATGTGTGTTCGAAACGAGTGAACAATTTGAACAATACTACTTTGTTGCAACTAGGGACATTGCTTACTAAAGTTTGTCGCCAAGGGCGTCCCCAAAGACCATGTGTGGTCACTACAAATAAAGTAACCTTGTAAATACTACCCAGGTACGAAGCGGTCCAACTTGTAGCCGGCAAACCGTCGGAGCGCCCTCCTGGAGCCTTGTGCCCGGACGCTACACAAAGTATACTTTTGTGTTTGGCTACGACCTCTTCCTTCCCTTTCAAAAAAATGGCCCCGAAGGAGCAAAAGTCAAAGGAGGCCAAGGCCTTGGCTGCGGCCAACAGCAGCAAGGGCAAGCGGAAGAAGTGGAGCAAGGGCAAGATGAAGGAGAAGGTCAACAACGCAATCCTCTTCGACAAGGCAGTTTATGAGAAGCTGCTGAATGAGGTGCCGAAGTATAAGATGATCTCGCCCTCCGTGCTGGCGGACCGCCTTCGCATCAATGGCAGCCTGGCTCGTGCTGCCATTAGGGAGCTGCTCAACAAGGGGCTCATCAAGCCTATTGTGCACCACCACTCGCAGCTGGTGTACACGCGCGCAACCGGCGCGTAATGTCGTCTTGGAACGTTGGCGTGTAACACATTGGCGGCTATGGTCCCTGATCCTCTCGTTCCATTTTGTTCATGTAGCACAAAGAAAAAGCTGTTCAGTAAATTTATTCAGCTCCTTGTTGTCTATTGCCAGCTGCTCCAAGGTGAGTGGGGTAAGATGCGAACCGGTTGCTCTTGCAACATGTATCTTCAATACCCGCTCGTTAGGGGAAATCCACATCTTATCATGAAAAAAGGGCTTTAAGGGGGTGTGGGTTTCATGACGGTTACCCGCAGCACTAAGCCAGTGACGTTCACGGTGTATGGCAAAAAGTGTTGTGAATTCAACTCCCAAAACCGAAAGCAAGCTACGTTGGCTTCTAATGACTAGCGTGGTACGTTCACGCCTTCTGGACAGCCGCCCGTTTTTGGAGAACTGGTTATCAACACCTTAACTATGGGCAGCGATGGGTTTGTTACCGAAGGTGCAGCCAGGGTACAGAGCTGTAAAATCCACTTAAATTGGCTAGCGTCTGTAATGCGTTTCTGTTGTTCTGCCCGATGACATGACCATACCGGGCTGGTCTGTTGATTTCAAGGGGATCCTTTTTAGCCTGCCGTATCGTAACATTTTCTAATAGTTGCCACGCTGAGCGATGACAAGCACAGCTCCCTCGTTTCAGCGATAACACCATCAAAACATACAGCAGAGAAACACAACTCGGGATTCCTTCTACACGACGGCAGACCTCCAGCGCGGTGGTGTAATTGCATTGCACGCAACAACAATAGACCAAATGCTTCACCCCCTCCACACATCCCCAGTCAATCGCGTCAACTTAAATCTCCAAGGCTTCACGCACTAGGTAGGGCACAGCATGATCGCGCGCACGCAGGTGGTGAACAACGACATGGTTGCTGCCGCTGTGGTCGCTGGTCCACGTCCAGTAACCATACACTGCAGCCCAACATAGCCCGTCGAGAAAATTACAGCAACCAAGAACTGCCGTACATGCACACTACGAACTCCTGTCCCAGGGAAAACATCCGCCGCATGTGTTCTTCGCGTCCTGCACCGACAGATGAATCTTGAAAGCGAAACGCATATGCATCATCTTCTCGAAATTTCGTCAAGAGGGTATTCAAGCTGCTCCAAAATTCGAAATGAAAAGGCCAACTTCGTTTTAATGCATGAAATCGGACTTAGGACGGTGTCTTGGGTAAGTCGCAAGCCTAAGGGGCACGGCGGTCATGCTGGGAATCACGCACATACCTGCACGCGCACCGCGTATACTAACCCAAGTTACAACGTGCTCGGCCGCCCCTCAGAAACCAGCGGTCTCGATGCACGGTACATAAAGTGTCCGTGGCGACGGTGTGCCGGCCGCCTCATAGGCAAACAATGCAAGGATCCGCAACGGCGTGTTACTTCCTTGGCCCCAGCGAGCGCACCAAGTTCGCAGCCACGGCGGCACCTCAATTGTGTACATAACACACGACGCGGTGGGATAGGGTGCCAGGATGTGCTCTAACAAGAACCGCATCAGCACCAACCAGCCCGGCATACCGGCCTGCATCTCCTCGCACATCTGCTTTGGCAGGCATTCGCATTTTGCATGGGCATTGAGGGAAACCCCTCGTCAGAAATTTGTAATGTTGCTTACTGGCATGTGGGTCAATTGTAAAGGGCAGCTTCAATTCACGTATTCCTAATCCACGTTCCTGTGTGCGCGATATTCCTGATGCTATGCATAACATTCGATGATACATGCACTTTGGCTCCTAAACTTTGGACGAAACTATGCAACGGAAACGGAGCCTATGCTCCAATCAGAACTAATAAACCCAACGCCTGCCCAAAGTGTGAGAGCTCCGCTTAAGCATCCAAACGCACATAGCACGCAAACAGCAAGTGCTGCGAGTTAAGCGCGCTGTAGGTTTATTGAGCGCACCTCGCCTCCCTGTGACGCCGCGAAGCGAAACCACAGCTGCGCGCGGGGGGCACGGGTAAAGCTGTGGTAGCCACGCAGCATAGAAGTGGGAAGCTCCGAGAATTGCCTTGCCAGCAGCACATTGAGCTCGGCGAATGAGTGCCTGCGGGATCACACAACACCTGTGAGAACCCCATCGGAGAAGATGTAGGGTAGGTTGACCTAGGAAGGTTGGGATTGAGGGGCATGAGGCGCCTCCTCAGCTGCCTAAACATCCGCTTAACAGTAGGAAAACGTTGGTGTGTGCACAAGGTAAATTTTTAGCGTATTGCAATGGAACATTTATCCCGCGTTGAGCGAATTGCAAGCTTGTGTAGTTTAGGCTGTGCTGTTGGGGCTTGGCGGCGAACAGAGCGCGCAAAGGACGTCGTCGTTTTTATGTACCTAGGGAGGAGCGGGTATGCCCCCCCTGCGGCACTGAGGCCATATTGAAGACGAGAAGCATGTCTTGCTGGACTGTCCCTGGTGTACGGTGAAACCAGATCTGATATGGATTTTCCTCGTGTTGAGCATGGGAAGGACGCTATGAAGTGGGAACATGAACGAAGATGCTGGAATGAATGCGGTCCCACAGCATCTCTTTATCGTTTCCGTTGGTCGTTAGTCTCCTTTATCACTTGCTCTATCCGAAGTGCGAGGTAGGATGGTGCTTATAGGCGATCTGACAGCCCTTGAGCCCTCGGCTCGCATTGGGCGGTTTGCAGGTATGGGGTGCACACCCCCACGACCATGTAACACACACACACACACACACACACACACACACACACACACTGGAACGCAATTCCATGACCGCGAGTCTGGCAGGAGTCTAGGCTAGAGTGCTGCCACGTAACCTCATAGCGTGTGCTTAATAAAATTACAACGACCGTACGGCCCCAACGCATTGGGATCCAGGATCTGGCTTGCGGCGCCTTGACCTCGCCGGCTTAAGGATTCCTACTAGGTACGCAAACCGGCCGGCATGATCCGACAAACTATATCTCCGGATGCAAAATGCGGTTAACATCAAACATTAGATCAAGACCTTGGTATGACCGTTAATCAGCTTACCACAGTGCAGTTCCCAAGCTTGCGCCAACGACGCCGGTGTTAGAGGCTCGGTCCGAGCTTGCAAGCTGGCAGCCCAGCAGGCAACCCGCCAGCTGCTCCAGAAAACGGCGTGCGTCCAGGCAATCTGGCGGAGTCTTGATGCCCAAGGTAGTCAGATATTCCATTGACCCAATGCCCTGGAAGCCGGCTCCCGCGTGCCAGGGCACATAGCTACAGCACGGCGCAGCAGCCAAGTGATGCGCGGAAACAGCTTCGGCCTGATCTGCTGCATTTGCGTCATTCATTTCGTCTGAAGATGATGATAGTGTCTGATAATGGTAGTTGAGCGGGTCAGACGGCGACGGTGGCGCGCCGCATCCCTCGCTGCGAATGCGCTTCGTGCTGGGCACAAAGAACGGAAGCGCGCCGGCCGGTACAGACTCGTGGTTAGCGAAAATTTCCGCGCTCCGCTTTGCCATGCTTGCGTTGTTGATGGGCAAACGACGAAGCAAACTGTAAAGCCCAAGAGACGGAACGCCGCGTGTGCAAAGCCGCCGTTGACTGGAGTGCCTTTAAGTTGCCAGTTGTAGCTCTTTTTGCGGCTGGCAACAATTATATCATTGCTCCTTGCAACTTGCGGTACCGTCGGTAAAAGAAATCTTCTCCAGGCATAGCCGTCTGCCCAACAGTGACAAAAATCGATATACACAATCTAAAGCCCAGATTTTCAATTACCCGTCCTTATGATGCTAGGGCCGATACGTTCTAGAGTCCTCGGAGTTACACCCGGGTCAAGTCAATGCAACGCGATGGCAGTTACAAATGTATGTCTTAAATGGCACGTATTTTTGTGCGACCTAATAGTCACTACAGACGAGCTGACAATGTGCAACCAGAACGTGAGCCCGAATCCCGCTTCGTACAATGGATCCTGTACGGCATAACCTGGAACGGCTGGCGCCAACTGGTAAGTACGGAGCTCAATTCGAAATGTAACTGCAGGCATCTTTATTAAGCTCTAGGACGAATAATTCTTACAAATCTGTTTAACAAGAAGTGCCGTCCGTAGGCCTCAGAAGGGTTTCAGCTTGCCACTGCGCGTTGACAGTGCAATTTATTTTAGTCGCACTCCGTCGAAGCTGTGGACTCTTCGTATGCTCATGGCGCGCTGCCAAGACTACGCGCCGGCCTCCTGTGATACACGGTGGCCACGAAGGCTAAGAACGCTCCCAGCAAACCAGCGAACATTCATCATCCACGTTCAGCCGCTCTCTCGCTTCAGGGTATTGAGCCCCATGTGGTGCAGCGCTGTTCTGATCCAAGAACTGAGCAGGTCACCAGCCCGCCTATGCATGTGCACTGCAGCTGCAGCAAAAGCGCGTAGTAATGGTTGTTACAAAGTGGGTGGCTTTGGGGCCGTTTGCAGCAACGAGCTCCGACGTTACGCCCTCGACTATTGCGCGCCCATTGCTGTCGCCTCGCTTGACTATAGAAATGAAAAACATATACTTGTCGCGAGCGCATATGAATTACAGCTTTTCAGGCGCTTCCTACATAGCCACATATATCGTATTAAGTGAGCTATACATATGTGCTTAAGAAGGACAACATGAAAATCCTCTTTTGGCTTCTATCTGGGTGCATGCTGTGCTTCTACTGTTCATCTCCACGGAACCTGACTGGAAGGATTTGTTCGTCAAATCCGGATCCGACAGTTTGGAAAATCGAGTACCAATGGGTGGTGCGACACAACGGTGGAACCCACGAACAGGGATGGTAGAAGATTGGATCCCGCTTTCCGACATGCCCCCAACCCCGCCCTTCTTCCTGACACTAGAGCCCCCTAAACCACAAAGAGGGCATTACTAAGAGGCCAAATAACGACGGGCCAGGGGCACCTAACCTACCCCAACATGCGTGTATGTGTGTGTATGTGTGTGTGTGTGTGTGTGTGTGTGTGTGTGTGTGTGTGTGTGTGTGTGTGTGTGTGTGTGTGTGTGTGTGTGTGTGTGTGTGTGTGTGTGTGTGTGTGTGTGTGTGTGTGTGTGTGTGTGTGTGCGCTGACCGCTAGGGACTACGGCATCCCCAATAATCTTTCATTACACTGGTAATATTATAGTACAATATATCCATAAATCTCAATTCGTTTGGTCAGTATTCCCGTGTTCTCGGGTCTGGGCCCCCTCCGGCCCCGGGGGTTCGGCGCAGCCGCCTCTAGCCGCCGCCATCCCGGAAGAAGCCCGCACAGACAGGAGCACAAGGCAAACCAGGAACAAGGGCTCATACAAATCTAGAGGATTGAGGATTGCGTGGTAATGTTGCAATGAATGGGAGTTGCAGATCCCGAGGGTGGTCCTGGCTAGGCTGGGCCTGCCGGGCTTGCGAAGGCATGTATCAGCTCACCCTACCAAAATGAAACCGCTTTAAGAGCGCTCTCAACGCGATCTTAAGCCATATAAAGCACAAGTAGATGCCGCTGTTAAGAGCGTTCTGAGAACGCTCTTATCTGCCATGTTTTAAGATTGTGCCTTCTCAAGCGTTCTTAAGCGATCTCAAGAGAGCGCTCTTTGCAGGGAATCTCAAGCGTTCTCAGCGATCTTACCCGTTCTCAAGGACATTCTCAAACCATTTTCTCACGCATTCTTAAGCAATCTTTCACCACTCTCAAGCGTTCTTACACCGTTCTCTCACCATTCTTAAGCGTTCTTAAAGCGTTCTCAAGCGTTCTTACACCGATCAGGTGCCAGAAGGTGCTTCCTGTCTTTTATTCATTTACGTGCCGATGTACACATGACGCCTGGCATCAAACTCGAGCCTTGCTTGCGAACTACACATACCGCGGACTGTGATGGCTTGAGCGCACCCTAGCTAGGGCATCCCTTGCCACTGAACCTTGCTTACTAAGGCCATGCCCGTTTCGTAGGCTCTAACTCCGTTTCCTTCGCTTACGCAAACTTTATAATAATAATTATGGATCAGTGAATATTAGATGTCGACGGAATGGAATTTTGTAATCAATGTGTTCGACGCCTGGGCGAAGCGCTAATCGGGTCGATGCCAGATGTCCAATCATGTAATATCTCCATGGATGAACAGCTAATTAAAGACATACCTTACATTATGACATGGTACATATATGTACGCCAAATTCCTAATGGCCTCGCCCTCGTCGGTAAGTCATCGCGGTCGCGCAATTCACGATAACCCTCTATACATATGAATCCGCAAGCCGAACATAACACTGTGTAAATCTGTATTATTCTATCAATAATTATGGTGTAATTAGCACGTGCAACCAGAGCAGTCGCTGGTACGACGGAGCTGTTGGGTCGTTCATCAGGCAGCAAACATCTAGCTTGCCCACAAGAAACCCAGTTGTCGTTATATGACAGCAGAAGTATGAAAGTTCTCCATCCGCGACTGCAGTAACGTAGCCATGAGAAAAGTCAGGTGCACGGTACATATTCCTCCAGCACAACAGTTCTCATTATCATGATTTGACACTTATTAAATGTCGGACAGCACAATCCTTTCCCAGGCGCTTTGGTTGCTGTCCATTCCGGAGGCAGCTGCTCGGGCCCATGGGCAACATGCGAAAGGCCGCATTAGCATCAGCGAGGCAAGTCTCCGCTCGCCAAGGAGCTCTGGCGCCTCTATTTCAGTGGGCATGCTTGTCGGTCGGCTGCTCACGGAGGCAATCGTCTTCGCCCGGAACGCCATCACGCGATTCGCAAACAGCGACCGGCGAGGTGCCGGTCCGCGCAATTCCCTTGCTTTTAGCGAAACCCTTATCCAATCCCAGCAAGACGTCCTACCGGCGTTGTCGTCTTTCCAGCGCGCACTCAAAGCCGCAACGGAAGTTACCGAGAACCCCCCCGACAGCTACGACTACAACACCGAAGCACATTACTCCGCCGAGTCGACTGACGAAGTAGCCGCCCGGGCCGGCATCGCCGCCTGTCACATCCTCCTCAGCATTGGTCACATTGATCCCCGCGACGCGGCATCATCCGGCTCCGACGCGCTGCGCGGCCTTCTCGGCGCATTGCGCGCGGCAGCGAGCGCGGCAGCGGCCGGTAGCAATAGCGCTAACGACAGCAACAGCAGCAGCCGGCTTGACATCTTTCAAGACTTCCTTCTCACAGCCGGCCCCTGCCAGATCTGTCTGCTGGTCGTCCTGGCGCACAACATCGATTGCCTTCATCGCATCGCAACCTCCCTAGTTGGAGTGTGTCGACGGGAAACGGTGGGCCTGCTCAAGCTGTTGGAGGAAATCACCATTCTGGCGACTGGTGGTGGCGGCGGCGGCGGTGGCGGCACCGGCCGAGACGATAGAGCCGCCACTGGCAGCACCGGTCGGATCAGCATTATCGTACAGCTCGGCGACCGTGATAGAAATAACCGGCATGGTGCTGCTGCCGCCGCCGCTGCTGCCGCCAGCACTGCAGCTTCCGGCGCGGACCCCAGCCATATGCTATTCCTGCAGGCCCTTCAGGAGGTGCGTGGAGGAAGGGACAGGACATTTTATCACGTAACATGTGGCTTAGCATAGCACTGCATAGCACTGCATATGACAGCACCGGTATGATCTGTTCGGATCCACTGTAATTTACCGTAACGCCATTCACTCATTCACTTATTCACTCGTTCACTCATGGGTCATGTGGCATAGCGTGACGTAGCGGTAGACATGCCAGGGGGGAGAACTCCATAATTTTGTTATAGTGGGCACAAAGCGACACGCGGCGGCGGGGCGCGGGCGTATGTCTGTATGTCTGCGCAGTGGGCCCACGTGCAGGCGAGTTAGGAAAGCAGGTGTATCAGTCCTTGCTGTGCATGGTGCGGTACGGTTACCGTGTCTGTATGTCTTGCGCAGGGGATTGTACTGCACTGTACATCAGTTAGCAACGATCGACGCACAGACCGTGTGCTGCCTCGGCGGTTGTACGGCCGTTGTACGGCAGAGGCGGCACACAACTGATTCCAGCAACCGATTTCCCGCCCGCATTCATGTGCCGCAACCCAGATCACCACGAAATTGACAACACGCTTCGCACGTTGTTAAGAGCTTAAATTATTAATTGGATTAATTCAATTTCATATTATTTCTTTATCACATTTAAGCGAAGCAACGTGTGTGTACGCTACAAGCACAATAATTAACAGCACCGACCACAAACGCGAATTCAAAAGTAGAGCCGAGCCCGTCTCCATTCATATCCAATACCGCTACGAATAGTCCCCGACTTGCCGCTGACGGATTGACGTCGATCGGATCCATGGCTCGACGTACAACAGATAGCCGGCGAGCTGCGGCCCGCCCTAGCGTCCTCGGGATCTGGCGACGCCGCCGCGGCACTCCTGGAGGTCGTACTGCGAGCGGCGCACCGGCGGGTGAGCCGGGAGCTGGAACGTGTGGGCGTTACGCCGCCGTCACCGTTGGGCAATGATGCTACTGCCGCCGCAAGCCGGACGCGAGGCCTCTCCACCGCTATGCTACAGCTGACAGGAGGACCCAGCCGCCGCAGCAGCCAAGGCTACAGCCACAGCAGCAGCCGCAGCAGCGTGAGTAGCGGCGGCAGCGCCGCCACTGCCGGAGGCGGCGGCGGCGGCGGCAGCAGCTACGTTCAAGACCACGATCTGCCGAGCTTTTGGGCCGGCAGCGGCCTGGGTGGAGGTTATGCAGCTAGCGGCAGCTCACTGGTGGGGAAGTCCAGTGCGCTCTCGCGACTGGTAGATGGATTCGTTGCGGAGGACGACGCCGTCGTTGCGGCGGCGGCGATGGCGGCGGCTGATACAGCCAAAGCAACCGCGCAGTGGCTGCGGCAGCTACGATCAGAGGCCTCAGATGGGACATCATCGTCGGTGTCTCTTTCGACGGTGACGGCGGCGATGCCGGAGGCAACGGCGGCGGCAGCGGCGGCGGCAGCGGCGGGAGTTCCTTCCAATCCCCCATCCTCATCGGCACGCGCCGTCACGTTCCCGTCAACAGCAGAGCGTCTCCTGTTGCATGCAAAACAGCCTTCGAAGCAGCAGCCACTGCACCAGCACCAGCAGCAGCAGCAGAGCGCGGCACCGCAACAGGCGGCGGCGGCGGCGGCATCCAACCCCCTTCCGGGTAGCTATCAATCACTCTCCACCAACCCCGGTGGCGACTCGGCCCACCTCGTCCAGAGCATCAGCGTCGCGCTGCCTCAAGCCGGCAGCCGGCCCTCCCTCATCAGCCCAGTCACCTCCATCCCGCTCTCCGTCGCCGCAGCCGACGGAACGCAGCCGCAGCCGTCGCCGTCGCCACCGTCTCCATCGCCGTCACCGTCGTCGCCGCCGCGGGTCGCCTTCCCGGTTTCGTTGCGCTCCGCCGCATCAGGGCCCACTGCCGCCGCCGCCGCCGCCAGCGACTCGGCCCCTGTACTGCAATCCGGGAACTCTGCCGCAAGGTCGCAGCTGCAAACCATTTACGAAGGCAGCTCTTCCGGTGACGCTGACGGCCCAGCCGATTCCGGCAACCGGCAGCAGCAGCAGCAGCAGCAGCAAACGCCGCCGCCGCCGCTGCAGCAGCTGCTACAGCAGCAGCGCTCGCGGCTGCTACAGCTGGATCCTTCCTTCGCCAACAGCTTGCCGAGCAGCCCCAGCTTGACGGCACCTCCCCGGGCTCCTGCTCCACCGTTTCAGCAACAGCCGCAGCAGCAACAGCACAAACACCAACAACAAGAAGAAAAGAAAGGGCGAGGAGGAAGAGGAGGAGGAGAAGGAGGAGAAGGAGGAGGAGGAGGAGGAGGACGGCTAACCAGTTTTGAGGAGCTTGATGGAGGCATTCAAGAAGAGGAACCTGCGCACCGGGTAGTTCGAGTGCGGAGCCACACCGTCACACTTGGCGGGCTTACGATCTCCGGCGGTGCACGCACGACAGCCTTTGATGCCTATAGTCGCGCCTCCGACAACGGCGGCATCGCCCATATCTCCGCCGTCGGTGTCGACGGCAGCATCGGCAGCGGCAATGGCACCATCGCCACCGCGCCCCGAAACCGCAGTGCGTCGGTAGCCGTACTGCGTCCGTCGGCGGGCCTGGGGTACGGCACCCAGCGGGAAGATAAGGCCGGGGGCGGCAGTAGTTATGGCACGGGCGGCGGCGGCGGCGGTAGCGGCAGCGGTGGGCAACGGCTCGCGAAAACGACGTCATGGCAGGAGGCCGCAGCGTCTGCCGTGGCGGCAGCTGCCGCCGCGGCGGCGGCGGGGGCATGGAAGCCCGCTGCCGTCGTCAGCAGTGGTGGCGGCGGCGGCGGCGGCCTCACCAGCGTATCATCTCTGGGCCCTCGCTCTAGCATCGGAATTGGGCAACCTTCTGTTTTAGCGACCAAGACTTCTCTTTCAGGCGCCGGATTGGGGATACTAGCGGGATTGGGAGCCGCCGCAGGAGCTCCAACGACAATAACCGGCCGGACGAGTATTTTGGCGGGGACTGCGGCGTCGGCGGCGGTGGCGGGAACGTTCGGCCGTACGTCCATGCCAGGGGCGGGACTACCGCTAGGAGGCAGCAACAGTATTCTTGGGGCCTCGTAGACGTTGTACGGCCTCGACAGGAACCTTTGTAGATTGTGTACCAACAGACCGGGACGGGATTACCGCTATAGTAGACCGGGCAGCAGGACGTTTCGAAGTGGAGCGATTGGGGGGAGTGGAGTCGGTCGGTCGGAAAGTGATGCGTGTGTGCATGAGTGTGGAGCGATTGAGGGAAAGGGGAAAAGGGGGTAAAGGGGCACGAAGAGCATGGGAGCTGCGGCGCCTGCATGTATATGTGTGGGTGGGTGAGTGTGCGGGTGAGCGTATGTGAATGTGTGCATGTGCATACCGAGGGTAAGAAGACTGCGATAACGGTCGTCGTTCTTAGGATTTCGAGGGTTGCACGTAGGGAGGTTTCTGAGCTGGTATGCCATTGGCATTGTGCACGACCACCTTATGCTTGTGTGCGGTCTGTGGTGTTTTTATGTCCTGCACGACATCCTGACCTTCCTGCTATCATTCTGAGTATATATTCCTGCCAGAGGCAGAGGACATTATCCTTCTTAACCAGCGCTACCATGTTCAGTTGCCTGCCAACCGCCACTTAACTGCCAACCGCCACTGAAAACCAAACGGTAGAAGCCGCAAATCCTTGCGGAGAAAGCGTCCTGCTGGGTTGCCATACAGACGACTTTAGTGGCGCCTGGCACCTTAGTCAAGTCGTATGACTGCAGAGGACCCCAAAACGGCGCGCCAATGCGTATACTGCTTAGTGCTTATGGTACCAGCTGTTCCCTCCGAACGCATATGTATATCTTCCAGAACGCACAAGCATGACACAGTCAATCGGGAGTCAGCCTGCGATCAATCTCATAAGCGTCATCGTCCGGGAATGACCGGCCCGCCACCCAGTAGGAAGAAACCTTTATGAAAACGAAACCTACGTACCTTTGTGGATTAGCTATTATGATATTTCGTTATTTGCCTCTGTAACAACCTCTCAGCACATGGCCCATAAACGTCTTGCGTCCATCGAGGCTACACCGCGGGATTGCAATTTTTTTTGCAAAATTCAAAAAATGGCGCCAACTCGCCCAGCCAGTAATCAGCTGGGGGCCTTCGCTTCCATCAACCTCCTCACGCTTATCGTTCCACCATGGTATCATCAAAGCGCCAACTGCTACGTATGGTTATGCCAAATTCATAACCTCGCAGTGGTCTAGTCCAGAGAGAACAGATCAAACTCGGCGGGCGCCACGATCTCCGCCCCTGCCACCTCGGAATGTACCTCCACCCCGGCCCCGTTTGGAGGCACCTCCAAATCCTCCATGGCTTCCTCCTCAGCACCGCTAGGGCCGTTGCTCGCGAGACGTCCACCTTCACTGCCCGTGATGCTGCCGATGCCGCCAGAGATAGAGATGCCACCTTCACCGCTTTCCTGTCGTCCATGACGTCGCGCCAAGTCAGCCGCCATCTGGGTCGCTTGAAGCACCAAATCCCGCCTACGAACTGGAGCCGGAGGAGGATGCGGAGCAGCCAGCGGATTAGTTGCAGATCCGACAGTTCTCGAAGAGTCGCCTCTGCACCAGACATCTGCACCAGTGCCAGCGCCGCCGTCGCCATGCTGGTCATCATGGGCTACCGACTTTAAGAGCACTTGCGGCGGCGGCACAGCCGCCAATGAGGAGGTGCCGTTCAGCTGCAGCCGCCGCGGCCCTGCCAGGCCACCGTGAAGCGCTCCCAAGGCCCGGTTGAGCCAGTATCTCGAGGCTGCCACCGCACCTGGTGGACATACCGGGGGGCTGCGAGGAACAGCCGCCGCACCTTCACCCTCGCCCTCGCGCTCACGCTCATGCTCACCCTCACACAACTCCAGTTGCTCCCCCCCATTCACTTCACCCTCCCTCTTCATGCTTGCAGCACTACGTGTACGCTTGACGATATCATCATCAGCAGCGACTGCGGCAATTGCAGGAGGCGGAAGAGGAGGAGGAGGAGGGGATGGAAGAGGCATCCAGACTTCAGTTGTTTCACCGCCGCTGCCAGCGCCGACGCCGCTACCGCCACCAAGCTCCCAGGACTCCGGCTGCCTGCCGCTGTCGTACCATGAGGCGTGCTGCGTTGCGTCGTACCCAATTGGGAGGCCCACCAGGCTGCCGCCCGCCATGGCCTGCATTTCGTCCCAACTGAGTGGCTCGGCCTTGTACGACAGTAGTGCCTGTTCGCCGTACATCTGGAGAACCTGGGTGTATTCCTCGGCCTACACGTGGCACGCGGTTGGGCACGTGGGGCCCCGGGTAGTGGCCAGGTGGGTTATGGCAGCCCCGCGAGGGACATGGAAAAGAGAAGGGTGAGGGAGGCGGAGAACAACGTGAACCGGGTCCTTCCTGTCGCTGCCAGCCGCAGTGCACGCAGAATACACGTGGTGTAGGGGCGTGGCGTAGTAAAACCCTCCGCGACTCACCCAGTAAAACCCTAAAACCCAAAAATGCCTGTCTTCTACAGATGCACCACAACCCGACATGGCAGCGGCTCCGGCCCCGCCCCCGCCCTCGCCCTCACTTCCCTCCCCAACTGGGTTTTCCCTCCGCCTGAATCCCTCTCCTCTCCTGGACGCTCTACACGTCACAGAGGCTTTACATTTTTCCTCCCGTCCTCATTCGCTATTTCCACTGGCGCTCAAGGATTCCCTCTTCCCGTCCCAGCCCAAGACCCAGCCCCCGGCTTCCATGGGCCCAGTCGCTGCCACTATGTGCGCAATCGGCACAGAAGCTTCCTACCCCGTAACAATCAGTCAATCAGCCAATTAATTACTAGCGAAGCTCCATCAATCCACCCCACATCGCCGCCGGCCCAGAGCTCGGAGAAAATTCCCGCCAGGGGATGTGTGTCCGTCTTCTGGCGTACAACGAAAACAACCTCCCGGTTTTCCATTGCTTTCCCGCCACATGAGGGTCCTAATGTCGCAGAAAACCATGCTTGGAAGACAGTTGACATAACAAGCATTACGAAGAACTGTAAGCTGAATCCTGCTGAAACGCATGCTGGAGATAGCGTTGCTAACTTTGCTGACAAAAGGGCACTTGCGCTGGCAATTACAACAGCACTACCTGAGAACACATACACACACACATGCAGGTGTAACATACACACACAAAATAAATGAAAACGTGTTTGTGTTGTGCGGCCACCACCATTACGGGCGATCTGGCTAGTTGCATTATTCGTCCCCCACCTGCGCCATGATCGCCAGCGGGTTCTGCAGCATCAGGTCCAGATCATTGGCGTCCGTCTCCCCAACCAGTTTGTCCACCACCGCCTCAGCCAACCCCGGACACCCAGCTGCCAGCCGCTGGCGCATCCAGGCGTTGTAGTGATACCAGCGAGGCCGGGGCCGCAGGAACTCGGGCAAGCGCTCCTCCGCGCGACGAGCCAGCAGCCGCAGCAAGCCCTACGTTTTTTCCGGCGCGATGCGCAAAAATGGAGATCGGACGGGGCTGGTGAAGAAGGCATTGGGGATGATGGCCGAAATAGGAATAACAGTCAACCCCGTTAGGACTCGTTGGCTTGGATCAATTAATGTATTTACCAAGGAAATGACAAAGGTATAAAGGGTTTGAAGTGGAAACCTAAACAGACATGAAGAGACAAGACATGAAGACCCTGTTTGGCTGGACAAGTTACCTCACCCACAGTTACCACGGTCGGCCCCCTCGACACCCAGAATGACCAAACCTAAGCCCAGTCTTTCACACGCAGCAACCTTCCTCAACACGAGGTGCCAAGTCCCAGTTCCCGGCTGCCCATTTCTCGCGGCCTCAACCCTCCTCCGGCCTCAACCCCCAAACCCCCAGATGCAGCAGCAACTAAACCTTTTCCCCAACATCTCCACCAGCCTTCCACAAAAGAAAAACCTACCGTCTCGCCACCGTCCCGGAAAGCTTCCCAGGAATCCTCCGGCAGCTGCTCCACAGCTGCCTCCATCGCCGACCGCACAGCCGTGTCTAACGCCCCCTGCAACAGCCGTGAAGCCGTCGCCGCTACCGCTGCAGCCTGTTCTCCCTCTGCCGGCGGCCGTGACACCGCCGCCAGCGCATTCCTCGCCCTCAGTAACGACAGCACCACCTGATCGGGTGGCTCCCCCGCCGCGATCTGCGCCTCCGCCAGCAGCAGCTGGGCGCTGGGCCACCAGCTGATGGGACCACCACCACTGCAGCCGCCGCCGCCGCCGCTGCTGCCGCCGCTGCTGCTGCTGCTGCTTAGGGCGTCGTGCCCGGCGGCGGCGCCAGCGGTAGCGGTAGAGGCTGCGGCTTCACCGGCTCGGCTTGTAGGCTGTGGCGGTACTGCTTCCGCAGTGTACGCGACGGCCGTCCGTGCGTCCTTGAGGGATGTGGTCCGAGGGAGGCGAAGAGCCGGTAGACCTAGTTAGCCACATGCCAAGATGCGTTTGGTCCCCACTCCCAATTTCAGTCCTACTCACGTGTTTTTCTCTTCTTTTGCCCTAAGCTAAGGTACAACCAAGCGCGTGGCGTCGTGTCGTGCGCTGATGACCTGCCGACAATCTGGTTCAACCTGGCAGGCGCAGAAGGCCTTTTCACTCGACCCTGAACAATTTGAATTACAGCCCCACCTTGAGCGCCTGAGCCGCTGCTCCGGACTCCAAATAGGCCCTGCCCCGAAACCAGGACAGCAGAGCCCGTACCGATACTCGGGAGGAGTGCGAGTGCGTTGGCGGTCTTGAAGGACGGGGTCCTGCAGGTGTGTGTGTGTTGTGTGTGTTGTGTGTTGTCTCTGTGTTGTGTGTGTGTTGTGTGTGTGTGTGTTGTGTGTGTGTGTGTTGTGTGTGTTGTGTGTTGTCTCTGTGTTGTGTGTGTGTGTGTGTTGTATGTGTGTGTGTGTTGTGTGTGTGTGTGTGTTTTAGCGAACTGAGCCGTGTGGCAAAAGGGCTGGAGATGGTGGGGAGCTGCGGCCCATAACGATTCAAGTAGAATAGAAGGCGACAGCATAACGAGCAAGTAGAAGGAGCTCCACCCTTGGATTGCGGTGGACAACACGCACAGTTCCCTTCATGGTGCGGCATCGCAGGAGAAAACCCAAACCGCGCAACGCTATCAGGACCGACTTGCCTGTCTCAGTTACAACTCGGTCACCAATCCCACCGCTACTGCTATTATTGGCATTGCTATTGTTATTGTCGCTACAACGCAGCTGGACGAGCGCCTCCAATCGTACATCCGGCCTCCGTTCCATCACGCTAGCCAGGGCGGTTGACAGTTGGTGGTAGGACAGGCGTTGGCAAGGGGGCACCAGACGCAGCGCCCTGCCATCTCGAGGGCTTGAGAAAGGGGCCGGCTTCTCGCCTCGGGCGACGAGCCGCGCTGCAGCGTCGGCCAGGCCCGTGGTCGGGGAGGTGGTGGCGGTGGCGGCGCGGCCGGCTTTGGGTTTTGCGCCGGTGGTCAGAGTTTGTTGCTGCTCCTGTAGCGGCTGCGGATCTGGAGAACTGGGTGCGGAGGTGGGACAGTAGACGGCGGGGGAGCAAGGAACCATGGCGGCTTTGGGCCCCTGGGAGTGATTCAGTAAAGGGGGCGATGGAAGGATGGCGTAGCGTGGAACTCGAGGCGTCGGTAGAAGGAGGGGTCTTCTTGGGAATCGTGACCGTCGCGGCTAGGCAGGGAATGGCCAGGGGGAATCACTTCCACAGGTGCGGCGAGCTGTTTGTGGCCAACACATCCAGCGACCGATAACAGAAGACGACCCAAGGGACCGTCGTTGCAAATCGGATCGTGTAAAACGGTTCAGGCCTAAACCGGGAGCTGTTGCAGCTTCAAGTTTTCGCGATATTCTTGGCCGTATCAATGGTTTTGGTGTATGTTCAAGCAGGTGTTGTGTACAACAACCGTACAAGCTGCCGACCCTGCTCTTAAGCTCAGCTGCGTCATGTAAGCTGGAGTGCAGGGTGTCATCAATAATTTTATAATTAGGCTTTTCTGGGAGGAGCCGAACGGTTTCACATAGGGCCCTGAAACAGTTGCACTTCTAACTTTCGCCGGCCCTAGTGCAATTGAGTGTCACACAAATTATTCTCAGTGTGCATTCCTTCTTCTCAACGCTGCCCATAGTCCATGCCTCATCGCTGATCCACTTGCTACAGTCGAGCTCACGATCGTTGTGGTGCATATCTCCGGAGCGACCTTTCCCTAAGCTTAGGGCACCGACTTCGATTATTGATAAGGTCAAACCTCCAGCAGCGTCGCAACTCGTTGGCCGCACAGGTTCCATCCACCCCAGTTGAAGCCATCTCCAACGCAAGCATCTTAAAATGCTGCCCAAAGATCCGGCCTCTCAGGCCAAGGTCATCCGGGAGGTTATCCGTTCATACACCTATGTGCTCATATGGATGGGCATTTCCATTGCGGTCATCCTGTTCAACAAATGGCTTCTCGCGTATTCTGGGTTTCCGTTTCCTATCGCCTTGACGCTGTGGCACATGTTCTTCTGCTCATGCGTCGGCGTCGTTGCCGTTCGAGTCCTGAAGGTCGTCAAGTCACATAACATGACTCCACGGGAATACTACACGCGAGTTATGCCTATTGGTGAGCTCTATGGGCTTTACGATGGGCATCTTACTATCTTCATGTGGAGCCGCACCGGGCATTTGGGTTCCAAATGCTTCACTGCACTTCCCTCTGCTGCTCCGGTAATGGATTGGCTGTCAAGCTCGCTGGCGATCTTATGTGGAGCTTATGTTCTCCAATTTTGGACAACCGGCCGCAGCATTTCTGCCTGGTCGTGAAGAATTCGCGCAACAGCCAGTGACGGCCGATGGATGGCCTATTACCTTTCACCAATTGTTGCCCAAGTTTTGACGCTGCCTTCATGGTCCCGTTTGCTCCTCCTTTATGGCTTTATCACGGGTGCTTGCAGCACCATCATTGCGTTCCCCCTGTTTTGTTGCCTCCAGTCTCCCAACCCCTCCCACTCCCCCGCTCTCCCTTCCTCCTTTTCCTCACGCGATCTTTTGCTCTGCAGGATTGCTCTACGCCGGCAGCCTCTGGCTGTCCAACTCCGCCTACCTGTACCTGTCCGTGTCGTTCATCCAGATGACCAAGTCGCTCATGCCCGGCCTGGTGTATGCCTCGGGTGTCATGCTGGGCACAGAGAAGTACTCGCGCGGCGTCACGCTGAACATGCTTCTCATTGCCTTTGGCGTGGTGGTTTGCGCCATTGGCGAGCTTAACTTGGTCTTCAAGGGCGTCGTTCAGCAGCTAACCGCCCTGGGTTTCGAGGTAGGTTTTTTGCTGTTTGGGTTGATACGGTGCGTGTGGCTTTTGGGTGCCATGTGCTTTGGAGAGTGACAGTGACAGTGACGACCCATATGCCCAATATGTTCAATCGACCCATCTCCGTCAGTGTATCCAGGGATGATGGGCTCCAGCCGCTCACAGCATGTCCGTTACCATCTCCGCACGCGGACCTCTTGTCCCGTATGCTGATTCACCGAAAGCCTACGTCCTCACCAACACCGGCTCTCCCACAAAAGCACGTGGTTTCCTTTTTTTCAGCCGCTTCTTGCGACAGTATATCCATCGTGTCTTTGGCCGCACAACTGTATTAAAACCGGAATCCAGCTTACAGTCGCGGTGGTGGAAGTGCGTCAGTCCAGCAGCACCTGATGGCTAACATGTAAATACACCATGTAAATGCTCCTTCCGAACTTTGGATGGTGGTATTCGTTCCTCATGTCTTTGGCGCCACGGGGGTTGGATGTCCGGTCCCTTCTCGGATTTCTCGCCTTGCCTCCATATTCCGTTGGCCTGTTGTGTTTGGGGTTTCCTTCTCGCTTTGATCTTCTTGGTTGGGTGAGCCCTAACTACCCACTTGCAACCTTGGTCCGTCTATATCCACCGCAGGCTATGCGTCTGACCATGGTCCAAGTGCTCATTAACAGCAAGGGCTATAACATGAACCCTATCCAGTCCCTCTACTACGTCTCGCCGGCCTGTCTGGTGTGCCTGCTGGTGCCATTTTGTGAGAAGGCCTGCGACCGGATTGGGCAGTTGGGTCGTTTTGTTTTCCCTGCAGTTGTGGGTGATAAGAGCCCCGTGCATGTGGGTGATAGCGCCCCGTGCGAGTGGGACTGGAAAGGGGCATACGTCGGGAAAGCACCACGTCGAAAACACTGACACCAGCGACACCAAATAAGGCGAAATCAACCGCAACGGCGGAATGCTTGGACACTGAATGGGGTTCATTCTTTGGCATCCTTGTATGCCTATTTGTATGCCATTGTTGGCGTCCTTTCATGACCGGGAAATCGACATGTTTGCGTGTGGCGTTTGGCATTTTTGGACGCCTGCACCACGTGCCTTTTTTTTACATCCGCTTCTTAGGCATTGTGACATCCCTTGCCTGCCTGCTCGCCTGCCTGCCTCACAGTGAGCGTGGAGTTGTCCAAGATGCGTACCAGCACCAACTGGACCTTCAACCCCTCGGTCATGTTGGCGAACGCGCTGACTGCCTTTGTGCTAAACTTGGTGAGGTGGAGGAGGAGGAATAGGGAAGGAAGAGAGTGGGGTGGGAAAGATGCTGCCGACTTTTGAAGAACCAATTGGGGGACATGGTCCGTGCCCTTATAGGACTCCCTCTACTGCCGAAACAGCAGGGCGGGCGCGCGAAGAAAATCATTAGGCCATTTCAATTTAATATCGGCTTTTGGAGCTTTAAGCGCATTTGCATCCATGATGGGGCGATGATGGGGAAGGAGACTAAGCACAGCGGCGGGGAAGAAGACGCTGTGCGTGTGGGGGGTTTGGGGTTACAGGTGTGTTGTGTACCAAGGGCTCCAGGATTTTGCTCAGCAGGCACACCAGACAGGCGCGGAGTTGATTTCAGCGTCGGGTTGAAAAGCCGTTGTCTGTCCATTACGACTTCCAAGCATACCTGCCATCCCCTTGTTCCAGATCGCCTTCCAGCGGGATTGCCGCCGGTTATCCCTATCCACTCGTAAGGAGGCGGCCACCCTACCACACACACTAACGTGCATGTATATGAACGTGACATATACGTGACCTTACCTTCCTGTTTCCTACCACCACCACTACCTTGGTGGAACCCCGCAGGCCGTGTTCCTGCTGATCGGCAAGACCTCGGCGCTGACCATGAACATTGCCGGTGTGATCAAGGATTGGATGCTCATCTTCTTCTCCTTCTACCTCTTCCACGCCCCGGTCACCACGCTGAACCTTCTGGGATACGCGTTCTGCTGCAGGTAGGGATCTAGGCGGAGCACGGGGCGGCGAGGAGTGGGCTTTGCCGTACATATATCCCCTTGGAAGGAGGTAGCATGCGCCGTACACACCGTCTTCCCCGCTCGGGTTGAAAGGATAGTTCCTCGTTGGCGGCATGTGGGCCTCAAAATCCCCCAGTCTCCTCCTTTCTTAAAGGAAGGTGCTTTGCGGAGCTTTCCGGTACGATGTGGACATGGAAGAGAAACGTATGCTTGATGGCGAAGGCCCAGATGCACTCTCCCCCGTTCCCGCATATTGGTTTTTAATATACACACAGACACACACAAGTATATTGTCTTCTGTCATTCCCTGACCCGCTTCCTGACATGTGCCGTTCTTGTCGCGCGTCACGTCGCCACCGCGTGTCCCTTTCGCTGCAGTGGCGTGGTCGTGTACAACCACATGAAGCTGCAGATGATTAAGAGCAAGGTGGCGTCAAATAGCGGAGGAAAGGCCGATGAGGAGAAGCCCAAGGAGGAGAGGTGAGCGGGGGCTCACGTGGAAACAACATTAGACCGGTAGCACACAATTTCCAACAATCCAACGGTTCCAGTTCACGGCACTTTTCCACTGCGACTGTCAGCCCTCCCCGGTTGGCTGCATCGCGCCTCTCACCAATTGAGAACAACTTGCAGCTACAGGAGGAACCATGAGCTCAAGCTTGTGATTACCCAGCGGACTAAAAAATGGTCTACAAGATCAATGCGTACAAAGTGTTAAGCGTGTGCAAGTTATCTTTCAATTGGCGAAACCCACGAAATTTCAACCTTTGAATTGCCTCGCCTCAGGTCCAAGGAGGACATTCTGTCGGAGATTCGGCGGCTGCAGGCGCAGATGGCGGAGCTGGAGGACCGGGTGAGCAGCTCTGCAAAGGTGATGAACGGCGGTGGCTTGGGCCCCATTTCATCTGGCCTGGCTGGCCCCTCAGAGCGTGCAAGTGAACTGGTCATTAACGCCGCCGCGGTGGCCAGCAGCGAGCGAACTGAGCAGGAGAATAAGGACAAGTAAAAAGGGCGGGCTTCGTGAACCCTCTATGGCCTGCGTAAGCAGTACTCGTTTATAGCTAGGGCAACAAGTCTCGGAACATGAGCAGTAGCGGTTCAGTTAGCTGGAATTAATCGAGGCCGCAGCGCGCGTGTGCCTGTGTATTTGTGTGTGTGTATGTGAAAGGGGAAAAGGGCAGGGTGGGTTGGGATGAGATGGCAATGTCCCGTCTCTTTCAGCAAGGGAACCTTTGGGGGCCTTGGTTTCCGGACATCAATGGCAAGGTGTATCCAACCGAAAGGGATGTGGACGCCTGTCTGCACCTTCGCAGTGTGCTGGGATGTTCTTCTTGTGTGCATGTGGACTATGGCCTTCGTTGTGATCTTTGCGACCGCGAATGTGGCTCCTTTTCACGCATACTTTATCAGAGGTTATTGCTATATCCCATTCGGGATGCTGCCACGTGCAAGAGTGGCCCTACCGGACGAACGGCGTATATCAGTCTTACTGCATGTATTTTCAAATTGTCGTGGTGCGGGCTTGGGGGTAATTATTAGGGGTGTCAAACTTTTATGCGCTCCATTGTATCGAGATCGCATTGCAGGGTACGCCGGACCCTTCTCGTACCTGACAAGTACAGCCGTGAACCAGACGGTGTCCGCTCCTTTTGACGCGTGATTTACTTTTTAATGATGTGGGTCGGCGCTTTTGGGGTAATAACCGGAACGTCCCTTTGTTGTGGCCGTACATTTGAACAAAAAGTCAAAAGCACCGCGCGCGCCTCTTTCAGAACCTGCCCGAGGTGGCTCTTTTCCTGCGCCAGACAGCCGCTAGCCATTTGTTATTATAATGGCAACCATGATCTGGGTAGCTGGCGCACGGGGTTGCTACAGAGGGGGTTCAAGCTTTAAGGATGGTAGTGCGCTGGAGGGGTTCTGTCGAGAGGTTGCAGGACGCGTTTGCATTTCGTGCCTTCCCACCTGCATTATGACACACGGGAGAGATGGAGTGAACAGAGACTGCTGCAACTTCTCACTCTCTCTTAAGTTTAGGGGCGAACCCATTCAGACGGTATCCGCAGCAGCTGTGTGAGGGACGGCTGATTTGCTCCTACGGCGCATGGTGATGAGCGCTGCGCATTTGGAGGCATCATGGAGGCCTAATGTAAATTGCCTTGTGTGCTGTGGTCGGCTGCAACATGAATTGAGGATTACAATTAGGAGTGACGGAGTAGATGTGATACCACATACCAATGGGTCATCGCCGACAGTGACGTTGACTCCAAAACTTCGTACAGCCGTACAACACGCGTCATCATACCATAATGCTTCCGCTTCAATTACGTGGGGTTACCACTGGTTTCCCTTACATGCAATATCATCGAAGTCAGGAATATTGAATTTGTGCCGCACCTTTACATCCTGCTAGATCCACCCAGGCAGATCATTCATGGAAAATGATACCAGGATGTATTTACCCGGGTTTTACCCTTTTTGCCTGACGTGCTGACAGCGTTATAACCACCGGCCAAGCACCGCACCTGACGGCGTGCAGACCTCTTCCTCAGCACAGGGCAGCAGTCTGTACATGAATATATACACACCATACAGCTCCCATATGCCGTGATGCCCCCACAACACTACCCTACCCCGCCACATGTGTTCAATTGGCCCAGAAGCCTCCCACTCTGTAACAGCACCACTACCTGCCAGGATTAGGAGGAAAGACAACTCCGGCTTTCATGGGGCATCGTCCTTCTCCCCCTCTCCTCCTCGATGAAGACATGGACCGCAGGCGCCTGCGGTGAAGTCATCTTCCGCTGCCACTGGGCCCAACCATCCATCCACTTGTCTTGGAGCATCTGTCTTCGTTCGCGTTGCTATCATCTATGCTTCGTCGTACCCCCCACCCCCCCACCCACACATCCCGTAGACCTGACTCACAGCATAACCTTATCATTATGTTTCCTGACTCCTGCCTAGCCTAACATGGAAATGAATTGTAATGCAGCACCCATCCAGTTCTCAGTACCGCAAAGAATAAAAAACAGTGTTTACGTGTTCGACTTAAATCGTTAAGGGAAGGTTGCAGGAGGGCACTCCTTCGCGACCGACCTATCTGTCTCACTTACCCTTCCAAAACACACGCTGCTATGCAGCTCACCACACGCACGGAGATACTCTCCCGGGACGCAACCCGTCCACATCTCTGCTGCCACCTAGCGCAAAAAACGATAAACCCTCTGTAAGCGACTTCCCCGCCCTCCGCCCTAGCAAACTCTCCCGTCGTCCCCGGCTATGCACCCGTACTGCACCGTACCGTACACAGCACGGCGCAGTGGGAGCTCTAGACTGAAAAGAACGTCCCGTCCTTCCCCGCCGCCGCGCATGTAATTGCCGTACGGTCTGATATGTCACACCGGCGGCAGCGGGCGGCGGCAAGTGGGGCAGTCCATCTTGACCTCCATCCACCGGGTGAGACACGGCTCATGGAAGAAATGCCCACACGGCGTCAGCATGCGTGCGTTGTACGGCAGCAGCGGCACCGGATTCATGCAGATGACGCACTCCTTACTGCCGTGACCCGTCTCCACGTCGCCGTCGCCGTCGACGGCGACACAGCTGCGGCGGCCGCCGCCGGCGCCGCCGGCCGCCGTCGCTGTGCGGTACAATGAAGAAAAAAGCACTGCCGGCCTCCGAAGGCGCCAAGAGGTAGTGGCGGCTGTGGCGAATGAGATCCAGGACGTCGTCAGACGCCGAAGCAGCGGCCCCCCGCTTCCCCACGTCGCCACCCAACCCCACCACCATCCGCCAGACCCCAACGTCGTCGCCGTCGCTGCTGAATATGAGGACGCTGACGCCGACGCTGACGACGCTGATGCGGATGGTGGAGGTGACGATGATGACGAGGAAGACAAGCTCGTCGCGGTGGCCGCAGCAGACGGTGCTTGTGGCGGGCTTTCCTCAATCCCCATCTCCCGTGTCGTAGCTGGCCGATGGTAGTCGTACCGCCGCGGGAGGAAGGCGCGCGGGACGAACACCCTGACATGGGGCCAATGGGGGACCGGGGAAATGGGCCCATGGTGGTATTGAAACGATAACAATCCCACAAAACCTCACAGTCACCAGACCATCGCAACAGTTTCAGCTACTCGGATACACACGAAAACAGCGCAGCGACAGCGACAACAAAACCCAAGATTGACTTCGCTGCATACCACCCCCCCCGCCACCCAACCAGATATAGTTGCAATGCCCGCACAAGTGGCGGGGAGGTCCGCCAAAGCCTAGGGAGGGGCCGTGGACCGTTCATAACAGTTAATATTTTACGGTGTCCGGGGCGACTGTCGCCATCATTCCGGCCCTGTTTGAGTGCAAAGCGCTTGGGGGCTGCGTTCCTAGTCTCCCGGAGGAGGCCTCGGAGGAGAGAAAGCTATCGCTCATGCAAGCGGGAGTCATATAATGATGCGCACGCTGCGCCCTTTCATTCAACCCGAGTTCACTCCCCCCCCCCCCGTACTTAGCCCTCACGCCATCACAAGCAAGCCATTTTCCAAGCACATATCACTCATCTTCCAATGCTCTGCTGCAGTCACAAAGCCTGCAGGTACGTGCGGCATGCTCACGTGGTCGCTGGCCCTGTCGACCTCTAGAGCTCCCAACACCCCAACCACCTAAAGCGCGTGAGGACCAATCGGTGCAATCGCTACTAGTAGAAGTAGGGGAGGGCTGCCCCCGCGGGAGCCCCTCCAGCCAGTCACACGGGCGCCGCGCCCCCTCACAGCACCAGTGCCCCCAATCATACAATCATGGTCACGACACGTGCGCCTTCACCTCGGTGACCCGAACGGTGACCCGAACGGGGTGGGGGGGCCCCCCCCGGTTCACCTAGGGTGTTCGTGTTCGTGTTGGTGTTGGTGTTCTCGCACGTCTACCGCACCTGCGTCAAGCCTCTTCGAGAAATCCCTCTTAGGATGCTTCCCACAGCATTCGGCAGCTTGAGGGTAGCGCGTAACGCGCCACCAGGTCACTCTCACGCATGCAAACCAGCCGGGGGTCTACACCCAGCCTGGTGAGAAAGGCCATATGACCTTGCTCGCCTTCAGCAACATGACGGTGTTGCCGGCAAGTGCCAGTCCCTGACCTCCGCGGTGTTCCAGGTTTGCATCTCCTTTCCCCCCCCCCTTCCTGCTCCCCTTTCCCCCGCCCCCTCCCGAGGTCGCATCCTCCAAAAAACCGCCTACTGGTTACTACTAGTTCTGCTTCTTGTACACTCTTTTTCCTTGGCAACAGCTTCACTCGTTCACGTGGTTCGTCTTTGCCCCCTCCCCCTCTCCCCCTCACCCCAGTCTGTCTCAGACTCGCTTACCTGGGCCCCATCTTCATTTGTGCGCTCACCAGCGCCGCCTGCAGCCCCACCCACAGCACGAGCGCCACACACAGCTCCGGGTGCGTGTGGACCCGGAGCAGGTTGCTGGGGCAGCCGTAAAAGTAAATTGGGCTCACAAGCCTACATACATACGTACATACACACATACATACACGCACACAAACGCAGAAAGAGAGAGACAGAGAGAAAGAAAAGGGCAGCAGCAGCAGAAGGAGAGGGGGAAAGGACGAACGAGGGAACGTTTAAGCGTGAGGGGGAAAGCCATTACTGAATTATACTTTTCGTCTGTGCGTGAGTATATGTGTGTGTGTGCAAAGCTCTTTACAGCGACACCTACAATCTACATGATGACATACAGGATGACGTATAGCCTCGCATGTGCATGTATGCATGTAAGTAAGTAAGTAAGTATGTATGAATGCATGCATGCAAGTATGTATGTATGTTGTTAAAAGGTGGTTCAGCTTCACCAGCGGCCCCCTTTCCCAAGGCAGTCCCTGCTCTCCCCTGCGAGAGGGGCACCCTAATCCATTCACCCCATCCGACTTCAGAGTGTATTCGTAGGGTTCGGCAACTCACCACCAGCATCCAACCAAATCTAGCGGATCAACGGCGCATCAACTTAGTTCCTGGTCAGCTCGCAAGTTGATATAATCACGTCCTACACCGTCCACAAGATGGGGGCCCACCTCCCATTTCACCACCTCTCAGACACCCGAGAGGTCGGCAGGCGGATTTCAACCCGGTCACTCCGGGAGCAGAAGTCAGGCCTTCACCTCTGCCAGCCACCTGCCTAAGTATGTATGTATGTATACATGTGCATACATGTGTGTGTTTCGCCATACCCAGAGCCAACACGTCGCGCTGGGATGGCTACCCAATGCACGCAGCTCCTTCACCTCCCGTACAAACCCTCTCTCTCTCTCACTCACTCACTCACTCACTCACTCACTCACTCACATACATACATACACACGCACCTGAGTGCCGACATGCCCCACACGTACCCCGCCATGTACGGCGGACGTGTATCTGACGTGGCGCTGTACACCAGCTGCGGTACCCACCAGCTGTGCAGCACCAGGACCAACAGAGCCAGCTGAGACCTGAACTGAAACATGAACAACAGACCTGCGGCACAGGAGGGGTGAGAGTGGCACGGGAGGGAGCGGGGCACGGGAGGGAGCGGGGAAGCAACGAACAAGAAGTATAGCTCACTACCATCCACATACACATCTCCACACCACCACTGCCACCTGGAAGATTTACTCTCTCGCTGTCTCGCATCCCCCGCCCTCACTCACCATGCTCCCTCCAGCATCAACCCATACACCTCCCATGTCAGCATGAGCATCAGCATCATGCACCGCATAACCCACCACCACTACCACCACCACCACTAATACCACCACTAATACCGCTACCACCACCACCACCACCACCACCACCACCACTCCGGCGGCTGCTGGTGACCCGGGGGACGGCGGCACTTGGTTTCCTCATGACTCCACTTCCCCTCCCCTTTACCTTTCCCCCCCTTACCACCCGCCCACCCAACCCCCCACCCACCCAGTAACAGTAATCCGTAGAACCTGAAGTACACGGCGGACATAGCTCGGCGCACGCTCCAAAAGTCGCCACCGTCGCCGGTGCCGTTGGTCCTCTGCGCCCTGAAGACCAGCAGCGTCTGTCGCATCTCGAACACCGCGAACAAGAGGAACTGCAAGAAGGCGATGGAGGCGAAGGCGGCGAACAGCGCGTCCACCACCAGGGCTGTGCACGCGTCCGGGGGATGGGGGGGGGGGAAAACAGGGTGTGGGGGCGGGGGTTATTACTGGTGGGGAAAGACGAACCACACGCGATTGAAGCTGCTGCCAGGGCAAGATAGTAGCAACCGAAAGAACTACTGGTGGGGGGGGAGGGGAGTAGCCCGTATGTCCGTCCGTATGTCCGTCCGTCCATCCCCCCCCTCTGTTCCCGTCATATCGCACCGCCAGTGAGGTGCAGCAGGCACTGGTAGGCGTCCAGGATAGCTTGCATGGTGACGGAGTAGAGCGACATGCGGGCGGCGGCTGAGGGGGTCGAGGCCGCCTCCGCCTGGCTCACTGACAGCAGTATCTAAACCCGGGGGGAAGAGGGGGAAAGGGGGAGAGGGGGAAAGGGGGAGAGGGGGAAAGACGAACCACGAACGAGTGAAGCTGATGCCCAGGAGGGGGAAGGCGGATTATGTGCAAGGTAATCAGAGATCAGGGGGGGGAGGGGAGGAGGGGAGGGGAGGAGAAAGGAAAAAGCACGGAATGATGTGCAGTGTGTGAGTGGGGAAAAACGCGCGAGATTGATAACTGCGTCATAAAGGGAGGGGGAGGAAGGAGGAAAGGAAGTACGGAAGAATGAGAGCCTGTGTGTATGTGTGTGTGTATGTGTGTGTCGTAAACCGCATGGAAAGGCTTGTGAAGCCGCTGGACCAACAGCGCGCAGTGCGAATTAGAATAGAAAGAGGGCATTGGCAATCAAAAGGATAAACAACACAAAACAAACATCTTCGTCCAGGTGAATATCGAGGCACAAAGAACAACATATAAGCAGCAAACCAACGCGGTGCAGGGCAGCAAAGCGCACAGGCAACCCCTCCCTCCCCCCCCCCATACACACACACCCCACCTGCGCAATAGTCACTGCCGCCACCAAAACGCTATATCGCACAGCTTGCCGGTAGTACCGCTCCAAATGTACGGACGACGCGTTGAAATGTACGGCAAATTCGCAGTTGGGTGACATCACCACGCCCACCAGTTCCAAATCCGGATCCATCGGATCCATCCCCGGTGGGATGCCGTACACAACATCCTCCGCCGGAACTGCCGCCCCCGCCGGCGCAGCACCGCCACCGCCGCCGCCGCCGCCGCCACCCGCAACAGCAGACGCCGTCGCGTCGGCATGCAGCTGCATCTGCGTACTGTGGTAGATTTCCGTATCTGCGGTAAGGTGCCGTAGCTGCCGTACGACGGTAGCGGCGGCAGGGTTGACGTCGCCGTCAACGCCGCTAGTCACCCCTGCCGCCGCTGATGGCTTCAGCTGCCGCGGCGGCGAGGGCGGCTCGTCCAGGCGCAGGAACTGCACGTGGGACGTGGCGTCCGGATCGCCTGTGACGTCATTACGGGGCATTACACCGGGGCATTATAGCAACACCGCATTGGGAGCGAAGGAAAGCAGCGCCAGTTAACGGAAGAGGGTCCATTAACCGTCCGTTAACCGTCCACTAACTGTCCGTTAACCGTCCATTAACCGTCCGCTGACAGAAAGGGTGGCTATAAACAGCGTGTGCATCAGCACGTGTACCAACAAAGGAGAGCTCGCGAACACGCCCGACACAAAGCCTGCCACTAACCGCACCCGCCCGCGAAGACGGGGGCATGGAACATCTCCACTTTAAAAAGTACCTTCATTCAGAGTTCGTTGGTACGGAAATCTAGCTACCAACTACCAACTACCAGCACCCTTTTGAGGAGTAACCCCACCCCACCCACGCTCAACCCACGCTCAACCCTGGGGTATACTCCCATTCCCATTCCCTGGGGTGTGGGGCTCTCTTCCAGCTGTATCACGTACCACTACCCCTACTACACCTTCCTGTCTTGTTGTGCTGGGAAAAGCTGCTGCACATCATGTCGTACCACACTGCCCGACTGTACTTCATGTGCCCATGGCGAAAGCCCCCATTCCCCAGATCGCCCCGCCCGCCTGCCTGTCGTACGTACCCTTGTAGTACACTCGAAAGTCCGCCCTTAGCTCACAGGCCTGAAGCAGCGCCAGCTCTAGCGGAGGTCGCGGCGGGGACGGCGGCGACGACTCGCCTTCCGCAACGGCCTGTCGCCGCTGGCCGCCGCCGCCGCTTCCATGCGGCGGTGGTGGCGACGGCGGCGCCGGAGGTTGGTGTCGTACAAGTGTACGGTGCCATGCGGGTCCCAGGATGACCAAGTTGCGGGCTGCGGTTCGGAGAGCCTCTCTGCGATGATGATGACGAGGTCATTAAATTGGATACTTTTGGATCGCGCGACGCCGTTGACAGTTGGCAGTTGTTGTTATATTAGTAATTGTATTATTAGTTATAATATTAATTGTATTATTAGTTATAATATTCGTTGCAGCGTTTGCGGTTGTATGTTGGGGACTATGTTGTGACTATGATGGCGAGACTTCATGTTGACCACGTGACATGTGACGGTGGTTGGGTTATGGTTGAGGTTGCGGTTGAGGTTATGGTTGAGGTTATGGTTGAGGTTGCGGTTGCGATTACGGGACCTTCGTGCCTGGAAGGAGAGGAAACGCACTCCTTCCTCTGTTTCCTCTGATGGTATCACCATTAATTCGTACATTCCCTTCGCCCCTTCTCCCCTCATGTCAATTCGATTCGATTTTCCCGCCCGCATCACGCGACAACTCTTCGTTCGCTCAACTCAACATCACTCTACACCAACCTCTCTATCCGTCTGCTCTATCCAACCACACCTCACATACACAAATCACCTCCAAACACACTCGCGCTCTCACGCTCCGCGGTTCACTAGCACGCGGCCGAAACCTTCACACTTCAAACACGCACATCCTCGGAAAACATCGTTAAATCGCGTGTGGGACATAGATTACTCCATTTCTGTACATTTCTGTTCATGTACAACGTACACAGTCATAATGGCACGATAAAAACCTTCCAAACAGCACAAAACCCTAAAACCCTAAATCCCTAGGCCCTAAACCCTCTCACCGGTAGCCGCTGCTGCTCTGCGCGCCGCCGCCGCTACCCCGAGCCCCAGCCGCCGCCGCCGCAGCAGCAGCACTCCCGCCGCCGCCGCCGCCTCCTCCAGCCGCCGCCATCACGGCTGCCGCCGGCCCCGCTTTTCCCTCCCCCCCCGCCGCTGCCACTTTTGTAACAGCAAGACCGGCCTGGTGCTGCTGCTGCTGCTGCTGCCGCCAATCATCCCCTCCTCCGGCTCCGCCGCCGCCATTCTCCACCTCCTCTTTGAGCACTAGCGGCAGTTGCGGCTCCAGAACCGCGTGTACGGTGCCCGCCGCCGCTACGAAGGTGCCCCGCAGCCGGAAGCGCAGGTCCCGGTCGGTGATGCTGTCGCCGTTGCGGATAACCAACTCGCCCTGAAAGACGGCGGGAGCCGTTAGAGCCGTTGGAGCCGTTGGAACGTGTCGGTGGTGAATGGGGTCTCTCTTGACATGGTGGTTAACTTGCGGGTTGATGGGCGGGCGGGGCAATGTCATAATGCATTGAGCCGGGAGGTGTAGTGCTGGCAATAGTTGGTATGTGTCATGGGGTCCGGTGAGAATGAAGGCACGGGTTGTGTAATGTAATGTAATGTAATGTAATGTAATGTAATGTAATGTAATGTAATGTAATGTAATGTTACAGAGTGGAAGGCTTCTGGGCCGCTTTATCACATTGTCAGTTCTACGATTTTATCACCTTATAGCACCATCCACCACTACCACACTGTACTTAGCCATACGAACTGTAAGTCCAAGGCGGCGGATCCAGCCTTCAGGGACCCCTCCTCATCCATTCACCCGAACACCTGAAGAGACGGAGGGTTCGGCAATCGCCACCAATCCAGCGTGCGAATCTGGTCCATCAACTGTGACCTCAACTCCACATCTCAGCAGCTAGCCATAATCTCGCGCTCCCGACTAATTCGGGGGTCTCCCCGGGAATCGAACCCAGGACCTTAAACCGCTAATTGCAGTAGTGTCAACCCAGACCAGTGTGTGTGTGTTGGACTCCTTCCTTCTTCAGCCCCACGCAACAAAAGAGCCCCCTAGCGCCCGACCTGATGTCCTCACCTCCAAACCCTGAAGGCCCCCGGGAATCAGCTGCCGCTGGCTCCCCCCGCCGGCGCTGCCGCCGCCGCCACGGCTGTCGTACATGCTGGCCCCAGAACCCGCCGAATTTTGATCCGCGGGGAAACGCAGTATAATGACGCCACGCTCCGAAGACAGGGTGTCCTGAGGCCGCAGGGAATCGCCGTACGCCGTACGGATCCAGCTACCTGCCGGGTCGTGGGAGTACGACGATCAACCGCAAACCGGAAAACGGATGTGGTTAAAGAGACAATATGGATCGAGAGCACGATGACGGCTGCCAGAGCTGCCGCATGTAGGTTCCCTCACCGTTTGCTGCTGCGGACAGCCCTGGAGTCCAAGAGTGACAGGCCCTCGGCCTCAGCTCCCACAAGGGCTGGTCCCTAGTTCAAATCCTACCCGTAGCAACACCCGCATGTTATGGCCCAGGCAAGAAGCAAGAAATATCTTGCCTTTGAAGACGCCAGCCAAACGTGGGGGTCCCCGAAGCAGCGTGGAGTTTGGATTGCGAGGTGGGAACAAGTCGGCCATGTAGGGTGCAAGCTCAAGCTCCCAGGGGGGTGCCGCCGGCAGCGGGGAAGGAGGACTACTGCTGACGTCCATTAGATGCCGCGATAGGTCCGTCGCGGAGCTGGCCGTGCTGTGGAGCTCCCTGGCACCGGCTTTTGCATGGGATGAGTCCCTTGACGTCGCCGTTGCGCTGCTGTCCTGGAGCTGTGTGCTGAAGAGACGCCGCAGCATACTGGCATCCGTAGAACAACATGCCAGCAGCAGTAATAACATAAGCGCGTCGAGGGTTCGCAGAAGCTGCTGGGAGGCCATGGCCTTGTGAACCCTCCTCGAGCTTTGCTTTAGTGCATTATCATGTTGCCGAGCAAGACCGCAGGTGCTTTCTCAAGGAAGTCTCATGCAAGTGGGCTTCAACCGTCCTCCACTGAGGCCTAATTTTCCGGATGACAGGCCAAGTCAGGGCTAACAACATGGCTGTGATGAATTTATCACAAAGCTCATGCCTTGATTTTTCAAGCACATTCCGGTCATTGAGGCAAAGTTTGGCGTTTGGCGTTCCCCCCGTACAACAAGTTCAGGTGCAATAGGCACCTCACAAAGCAGGTGTATACGATCTATTGACTCTGCTCAAACGATAATTCCCATGTACATTGAACTGAACACACAGACACACGTGCCTTGGGCAATTGTGTGTGTCACACTGTCAGCAAACTCTGCACGTTCCTGACTTACTGGCGTAGCTCCGGTTTGGATCAATTGATATCCAGGTGAGATGTTATACGATCAAACCGAGTCATTCGTCTAGTTGGGCGGTTATGGCTTGCGTGCGTCACAACGTGCATACCTTGTTTTTCAGCGAGTCTGGGGTGTCTAGAGGATGCTTTTGTGATCACACATTGTTACGCTGGATCTGTTGTAAGCTGTCCACGTCCGGCAAAGCCATGCAGGCACACGGGTGAATAACTTGTCTTTCACACCGTATATCCAGCCCTTGAACCATGGCCAGGAGCATATGGCTCGCTTCAATTAGAAGCTCGCTGTTATGGCGTTGAACTCGGCCCACCTCCCTGACCGCAGGTGTCAGTCCCTTGCCTAAATTTACCCGTCTGGGCTAAAACAGTGTAGAGACTGTCAATTTGCAACAAGCTGCAACGATTTCAGGCGGCCTCAGACAGGCGCGCGCAGACCACCGGTTCGCGCTCGCGTGGACGTCGGAGGATATTCCAGCGCGCGAGCTCGCGCCAACAACGCTCCAGCTGTAGAACACCTGCCGTTCTACGGTGTCCAAAATTCCGCGGCTCTGGGCGGGCGGGGCGCACCTTACAAGCCTGGTTCCAGGCCGCGAGCGGCAGCCTTCGGGCTCAACGCGCGGACGTCGCTGCCGTCCCCAATGCTGACACCATCAGGCCGGTCGCCGTGTATCGAGTCCAGCTTACTCTCCTGCAGCCACCGTCGCCAGGGACCACTGGAGGGCGCGGAGGCCGGATTCCCCGACTTAACCACAGCCGTAGACCCCCCTAGCTTTGTGTCGCCTGGGCAGCAGCGTAGTAGCCCGGGCGGCATTTCAACCAGGTCCTCCAGCTGCGGCTTGGCATAACTCCATTATATCCTGGACGGAGCGTCAACGCGGACCGTCGGTAAGCCATCCGATGCGGCGGGGAGGAGGGGAGGGGGGAAGGGGGGTAGGGAAGGGGAAAATGTAACAGCTAGCCCTGAAGGTTTAAGGTGACAAACCACATGGAAACCCACCACTGATTCAAAGCACAACATGTTAAGGAAGATACTGTAGGAAAGCTCACCAAAGAAAGGGGAAAAAAGGAACAGTGGAAAAAGGGAAAAGGGGGAAAAGGGAAAAGAGGAGTGAAGGGAGGAAGAGGGGGAAAGGGAAGAAACGTGCGTGACCATCCAGAGGGGCGCTTGCAGAAGAGGAGGAACGGTTTTCATGATTGATTAGCCAGTGTGGTGCTAGCGGTCTCAAGCACAAAAACGTAACAGCGGTCGATTGCCGTGGGAAGAGGGGTTTGCGGCAACAGGAAAGGCTCGGGACAGGACAAGAAGCAGGACATGCGCAATAATCGTGCAGAAGCTGGGTGGTGCGCGGTAGGAGCGACACCGTGTCAAGGTGGCTGGCTGGCTGGCCGGCTGGCTGCTGCGATATTACGGACTTTTCTGCGGGATTTCTGCCGGGGAGTTCAGGTGCCGCGGGACTAAAAACGGGACATAAGCTTTCTGTAACTTTCTGTGCCTTATTGCGTATTGCAATCGACCTCGGCCTTATTATCATTTGGCATCTGTCATGTTTGCGTCATCGGCAAATCGTCGCATTTCGCCCTTTTTCTCTCTCCCCTTTCGTTCCCTTTAGCTCACGCGAGCCTCTCGCCCCGCATTCCTCTTACATTCTTTCCACACCACACCGCGATTCCGTTTTTCGGCATGCATTCCGCACATTCTGCAGGCCCCGCGCGGCGCGTCTGAATATCCTTAGAACGCGTAGTACAATTTATTACAAGGCGTGTGAGGGAGCAGCAGCAAGAGACTGCTGCGGAGCCCCTCAGATCGGACATCCGGGCCTTAGCCGGACCAGCAGGTGCCGTTCCAAGCGCCTCCTGCATAAGAGCTACAACCACTACAACCACTACAACCACTATCGCTACAGCTGCCACAGCTACCGGTATCACGCCGTGCAGCAGCAGCCAGCAGTAGCGCCTGTAGCATTACCGACTGCGGCTTTAGCTAAAGCGGAAGAAGAAGAAGAAGCGGAGTTGCTGCAGGTACTTTTGCTGCAGTCGACGGCAGCAACACCAGCAGCGCTAGTACGACAATTACCTACGGCATCACTTCTGCCGTCGTCAGAGTCACAGTTGCATTACACGTTATCGGTCTGGCGTGGGAAGGAACGTCGTACGATGGCTGTGTCAACTTCTTGGGCTTACTACCAGACCCCGAATCAAAATGGCGTCGCCGTTGACGGCGGCGCCAGCGGTGGTGGCGGCGGTGGCGGAATGCAGGAGCTTCATGGCCACGAAGTAGCTAGTGACGGCGCCGCCGGCGGGATCAGTGGCGGCGGCGGTGGCGGCGCCGCCGCCGCCCCGGCTGCCGCCGCCGCCCCCGCCACTGAGGATACCATGATGATGAGCCCGCGCCATGACGACGTCTCGTGTGCCGGTGGCGGAGGCGCTCCCGACGGGCTATACGGCAGCTATCGGAGACGCAGCAACAGCGGCCATCATCACCACGCGCACCAACATGCCCACCCGTACGGTGGGGGGTCCTTGGCTCGCGACGGAAACGCGGCGGCGGCGACGACAGCGGCGCGTGGGGATGAAACGCGATGCCGGGGGTACGGCACAAGCAGCGACGGCTGTGGGGACCCTATGCGGGAGGGCGTCGGCGGGATGGGTACCTCGGCCATCAGCATGGGCGAGCCGTCGGCAGCGGCGCAAGCGTTTGACGGCATGGGCCCTGCACAGTTCCGCTGCTCTGGCGGCGGCGCAGGCGCCGCCGCCGCTGACGGCGGCGCGATGAGTGTGGCGGTGTCGCCGTCCATATGTAACGCCAGCGGCAGTGGTGGTGCTGGCGGCGGCGACGCTGGCGGCGGCAGTGGTGCTGGCTTCGTTGTCACGGACGGCGTTGGGCCCGGGGCCGGCGGCGGCGGCCGCCGCGGCGCTGCCAGCGCCAGCGCCTTCCGGCCGTACCATCATGCTTTCGCGGCAGCGACTCATTCCGCCGCTCATGCCAGCCCCCCTATCCAGCGTCGGCCGCGCTCCTGCGCGCTGCTCGTCCGCGCCACGTCCGGCCTGGTATCCGTCTACCGCTCCTGCAACGACTCTTACCGTTACAGCCACAACGCCAATCCGCGGCGTGTGCTGACGAAGCCGTCAGTGGGCGTCAAGAACGACGGATACGACAACGAAAACTCGGATCTGATTATGCACGTGAACGACGTGTTGGTGAACGGGCAGCCCGGGGCGGTGCTGCGGCACTACGTGGTGAGTGAGATGCTGGGGCAAGGCACTTTTGGCCAGGTGGTGTCGTGCTGGTGTCAGGAGCGAGGCGCCTCTGTGGCGGTCAAGGTCATCAAGAACCAGCCGGCGTACTACCACCAGGCGCGAGTGGAGATTGGGTTGCTGCAGCTGCTCAACACGCGTTGCGATCCGGCAGACCAGGTGAGGTTGCTCGGGGAAGTTAGGTTTGGGTTTAACTTTAACTTTAACTTTAGGATTTTGGGCAAGGAGTACAAGATATTACATGGTAAAGATTTTGGGGAAACTTGTCAGATTTGGCTTTGGGTGGGGATCCCCAGGTCCTTTCTCGTTCCCCCAGCTAGGGCTCTGTGTATGTATGTGTGTGTGTGTTGTGAGTGTGTAATCCTAGCAAGGGGAAGACAGCTTTTTTCTCGGTCGGAGCAGCTCACAGCATCTCCGGGCAGTTGTTTTCCTTTCCGGGACTTTTTGGTCTTTTGTCAAATCCCCCCTCTTGCCCTGCCGTCCCTGCCGTTGCCTTCTTTTCACCTCCTCCACCCTCCCTCCCTCCTCCCTTCCCCCGAACCCGCAGCATCATGTCGTCCGTATGGTGGACTTTTTCCTGTTCCGCAAGCACCTGTGTCTGGTGTTTGAGAAACTGGATGTCAACCTGTTTGAGCTGCTGAGGCGGAACGGATTCAGGTGGGTCGGAGGAGAGGATGGCAGGAGAGGGCAGGGAGGGCCTCCTTCCCCTTCTCTCTCTCTCGCTCGCTCGCTCGTTTTGGGCGCCGGCAGTTGACCCTTCTTGCACGTTATTTTCCGTGCCTAGTACGGCGTATGTGTGTGTGTGTGTGTGTGTCTGCACGTCGTTTGTGTGTAATTATTTACTTGCGTGAGGGTGTGGGTGTGTGTTTGCCGCCTCGCAGGGGTCTCAGTCTGAGCCTGGTGCAGCTCTTCCTGCGGCAATTGTTGGACGCGCTGGTGGTGCTGAGAGACGCGAGCATCATCCACTGCGACATCAAGGTACGGGGGTTTGAAGGGGAGGGGAGGGGGGGAGTGGGAGGATGGAGGGGCTCAAGGGACCTGAGGGGCTCAAGGGTGAAGGGGGGCGGGGGAAGGGCGCCCCGAAGGTGGCAAGGAAACCGCGGGAAAAGCGCCCTGACCTGCGCAGAGGAGAGATTATATACCAATCACATACAAATGCATTTTACCTGCTACAAATCTCGCTGCTGTCCTGTCACTACCGTCGTCCTCAACAGTCCTCACCACCGTTTGCGTTTTCTCTCTCCCCCCATGCCTTTATGCCATGCCTTGCCTGCTCTCCCGTCAGCTCCCTTTCCCCTCCCTGAATCTGAATTTCTCGCCTATGATCTCTCCCCCCTTCTACTTCTGGTACACTCTTGCCCTGACAGCAGCTTCACTCGTTCACGTGGTTCTCGTCTTGACCCCCTCACCCGGCCTTGCATGTGATGTCCCCTGCCTCTGCCCTCGCCTGCCTTGCCTGCCAACCCCCGGGGCCCCCCCCTCGCAGCCCGAAAACATCCTGCTCAAGAGCCCCCACAGCGGCGACCTGAAGCTGATCGACTTCGGGTCGGCCTGCTTTGAGAACCGCACCGTCTACAGCTATATCCAGAGCCGCTTCTATCGGTAGGTATCGGGCATGAAATGAATTAATGGATGGATGGACGGATGGATGGATGGATGGACAAACAATTTATTCATCCCCCCCGTCATCATCGCCCCCCCTCCATCTCCAATCCTCAGCTCAACCCCCCCCCCAACAACCCCACATATGTTGTCCCCCAACAATATGGTTTTCCCCCAACCACATGTCCTCCCCTCCCCCCCCCCGCCCCCCCAGCTCCCCCGAGGTGGTCCTAGGCTGCGGCTACACGGTGGCCATAGACGTGTGGAGTCTGGGCTGTGTGGCGGCGGAGCTGTTCCTGGGGCTGCCGCTGTTCCCGGGGGCCTCAGAACACGACCTGCTCACCCGCATCGTACAGACGTTTGGCATGCCGCCGCAGTGGCTGCTGGAGAGCGCAAAACACGTGGACAAGTTTTTCAACAAGCGGCTGGTGCCGGTAAGGGGAGGAGGAGGCGCGTGCGGATGCGGCCGCGGGGGGAGCCCCCGGGACGCCGGGGGCGGGGAAGATTGATTGGTTGTGTGCGTGTGTATGTATGTGTGTGTGGGGGAAGACGTGATGAGGGTGGTATAGGAGGGGTAAAATATGATACAAGATGTTGCAGAGCGCTGCGCAAATGGTCAACTGCCTGCGGAGCCGCGGGGCACTGGTGGGGAGGGTACCTATTCCACGGTCATACCCCCCTCCCTCCCCTTTTTTTACACATGCAACCCCCCCCATCAACTTGTGCATGGCTTCCGTACGGCTTCCGTACAGCAATCGTACTCGTATTGATGTTATTCCATGGTCCCTGACTTTGTCTTTTACCCTTCCTTGACTTGTCATTTACTTTTCCTCCGGGCCCAGGACGCGTCCGGGCAGCTCGTGGCTCACCACGTCCTGACCAGCCAGGCGGAATTCGAGGCCAAGAACAGCTGCAAGGCCCCGGCCGGCAAGAGGTACTTCTCGCACACCAGCCTCCCCGACATCATCCTCGTCTACCCCTTTAAGCAGGTAGGAGGTGCTGGGGATTTTTTGGGTGGGCGGCTGGGTAGTACGTGTGCCTGTCTGTCTGTCTGTCTGTCTGTCTGTCTATCTGCGCTAAAAAATCGAACTTGGAGAAGGCAGTCCTGAGGTCGATGTATTTATGCGTTGCTTGTGTGTGCGCGTGTTTTTTTTCCCACAAGATTTGCCTTCACCCCGCATGTATGTATGTATGTATGTCACATCGACGGCTATCTTTTCGCACTTATCCCGCACTTACAATCACCCGACCCGATCCTCGCCCTCGCCCTCGCCCTCGCCCTGACCATCCGACACCACAGAGCCTGAGCAGTGAGGAGGTGGAGCGGGAGCGGCGAGCTAGGGAGTGCTTCATTGACTTCCTGATGGGGGTTCTGGAGCTGGACCCCAGGAAGAGGTGGACACCCCGGCAGGCCGCTGCGCACCCCTTCATCACCGGAGAGGCTTTCAGTGGGCCCTTCACGCCGCAACCCGACCCGCCACGGAAGCCGTCGCACGGCATGTCGTACCTTCCCGCCGATCCAACGCCACCGGTGGCGGTCCGGGCTGGCGGCGGCCATCACCACCAGTACCAGCAGCAGCAGCAACAACAACACAGCGGCGCCAGCGGTGGCGGTGCCGTCGCCGTGCCGTCCGGCTCGGCGGCCGCGGCGGCGGCGGCGGCCGCGGCCGCGGCAGCACTGCCGCGGCGGCGCAGCAGGTCGGCGGTTCCTTTGGCGGTCTGTTTGGCGCCAGCCATGCAGCCGTTGGTGGGTTAGGTTCCTCGTCGTCGGCTTCCACCCACGCGCATCCGCTAGGGCGCTGGCGGGGGCCAGTGGCGGCGGATTGTACGGCAGCCTGCCGACCCACGGGTCCGATCAGGCTCTTCAACAGCTGCAGCCGCAGCCACAGGCGTCCTTTGCACCTGGTTCCTACACTGCCGGAGGAGCTGGCGGCGGCTTGGCATCGCACGCCGGCGCGTCGGCAGCCATGGCGATGCTGCAGTACAGCCCTGCCCACCACGCTCAGGCGCACGCGCAGGCGCATGCCATCGCGATGGCGGCTCTGCAGCAGCTTAGCCCCAACTTTACTGGCATGCTAGGTGGAAGCTTCGCTGGTAGCGGCGGCGCTGCCGCCGCCGCCGCCGCTGCATCGTCGCTGGCATCTTCGCTGCCGCACCCTCCTTCGGCCCTGCTTGGGGGTTCCTTTCAGGTGCGGAGGGGGGAAGGGGGGGAGTTTTGCGGGGTGTAATAGGGTAACATTACACAGTACTACTTCTGTGAGGGGTAGCTTGGGATCCCGTTGCTGCTGTTACTGCTATTACTGCTATTACTGCTATTACTGCTATTACTGCTATTACTGCTATTACTGCTATTACTGCTATTACTGCTATTACTGCTATTACTGCTATTACTGCTATTACTGCTATTACTGCTATTACTGCTATTACTGCTATTACTGCTATTACTGCTGTTACTGCTATTACTGCTATTACTGCTATTACTGCTGTTACTGCTGTTACTGCTGTTACTGCTATTACTGCTATTACTGCTATTACTATTGTTACTGTTGTTGACGCAGAAATGTAATATGGACAAGCGGCGTGCTCCCACCGCTGTCTTGACACCTGCACATCTGCACATTATTCCATCATTCCTCGCACGCCCCCATTCGGTGTCCAAACCCATAACAGCACAGCCGTGCCCTTCCCGCAACCCCCCCCCCTGGGCCCCTCCACTCCCGGACGTGTGCAGGCTCCGGGCCTTGCGGGCTCTCTCCCGCACACGCAGTCCTTGCTCCCCGCGCTGGGCTCCAGCCTTACCCCCGGCGCCGCTGCTGCCGCCGCGGCTGCCGCTGCTGCTGCAGCGGCAGGCGGTAGCTTAACCACGGCCACCGCACCTGCCTTCGCCGGGATCCAGCACCAGCAACAACAACAACAACAACAGCAGCAGCAGCAGACGGCACAAGGCCAGGGGCAAGCAGGGCAGCAGGGGTTACTGCCAGGGCATCCTCACATCCAGCTTGGGGCTACCCCCTCTGCAGCGTCCTTCCTCCAACAGCACATGGCGGCACTGGCAGCTCGCGCGCAGCAGCAGCAGCAGCAACCGCCGGGCTACGGTGTCGGCAGCGCTGGCAAGGGTTCAGCGCTAGGTGCATCCAGTGGGGGGGAGCTGTACAATCCCGCGCTGGCGGCAGCTGCGGCAGCGGCCGCCGCTGCCGCCGCGGCGGCGTCCGCCGTGTCGGCCCAGCAGCAGCAGCAGCAACATGCCGCGTCATTGCTCAGGTCCTTACCGGGCCGTCAGTCCGTTAGTGGCGGCTCGTTCCCGGTGGGGTCGGCGGCAGCGCCTCCGGGCGCTCCTTTGGAGGGTGCTGCGGCGGCGGATGGACTGGCGGCTGCGACGACGGCGGCGATGGCCGCCGCTGCCGCCAGGCAGCAAATGCAGGCTGCAGTCGCGGCAGTGGCCGCCGCCGCGGCGGCGGCTTCTGCCGGTGGGTCTTCGTACGGCTCTGCGCCTAGCGGCGGGATGGTTTCCACAGCGGCGGCGGCCGCTGCCGCGGTGTTCGGCTCTGGAGGCGCTACGGCGGCAGCCGCACCTGGCGGCAGCGGCGCGTTACCTTCCGCTTCCTTGCCGCACAGCGCCAGCGGCGGCACCATGGACCCACTAATCTTCAATGCGCTGCTGCAGCAACAACAGAAGCAGCAGCAGGAGGCCGTGGCGACGGCTGCCGCGGCGGCGGCGGCGGCTGCCGCGGCCGCCGCAGCCTCCCGCAGCAATGGCGGGAGCAGCTCTTCCGGCGGCGCCGTTGCGCCGCAATCCTCCTCTCAGCAACAGCAGCAACAACTTTACTTACAACAACAACAACAGCAGCAACAGCAAGCCAGCAGGTATCTTACTCACCATACCCATCACACCCACACCCACGGCCAGGGCCAGGGGGCCCACCTACAGAATCTAAATCTAACAGAGCAAAACCCGCTGCAGCCGATGTCCAGCGGCGGCAGCGCGGCGACGATACCCCTAGTAGGGTCTTCGCAGCCACACGTAAACCGCAACAGCAACCACCACCCGCAGCAGCCGCAACACCAGCCGCCCCCGCAGCTTCACAACACCCACAACACAACCTACGCGGCGGCGCTCTCAGGCGGCCATTCACATCACCACGGCCACCATCATCATCATCATCATCATCAGCATCAACATCATCAACATCAACATCAACATTCTCAACATTCTCAACATTCTCAACACCACGTTCACCAACACCCTGTAGGCAGCCTTGGGGGGGCTGGGGGTATTAGCGGCACTACGACCATTCCCCACGTCAATAGTTGCAATTTGCAGCAATACATGGCGGCGGCGTTGGCGGCGGGGTTTGCCGCTAACGCAGCACCGGCGCCGGCGGGGCCCGGAGGCTCCGCCGCCGCCGCCGCCGCCGCCGCCCTGGCGGCCCCCGTTGGCGTCGGGCCCGCCGTCGGCGGCGTGGGACTACTACAGCCGCAGGGCGGCAGTTTTACATCGACTACGGATAACACGGATGCGCTGTTCGAGATGCAGACGGGAGCTACGGAGTCGGGGACGTCACAGCAGTCGCAGCCCGGACGGAACGCGGCCTCCACCACGGCGGATTCTCCGTCCATCAATCAGGTAGTGGTGGTGGTAGTGGTGGTGCTGCTTTTCGCATCTCACAGTGCGAAAACGTTTTATAACGGGGCGGCCAGTGTTTTGTATATATATATGTATGTGTATGTTGTATACATATATGTGTGTGTGTGTTCAGGCTGGCTATTACGTTATTTTGGGGAAGAAGTATGTTGTTGCAGTACGGCACGTTAGGGGGGCAAGTTCGTGGCGAGTGGTTTCCTTGAAAGCCAGTACGGCTTGGACACCTGGGAACTGAAGTGAGTTGACCTGAGACCGGGCGAGCGCCTCAGGATGGGGCAAAGCGGTGAGGGGGAGAGCGATGATGGAGGTGTAGGTTGATGCATGGTTTGTGTGTCATGTTGCTTTCCCCATGCCTCCTGGTTTTACCGTTACCGCTGTGACTCCGTGCCTTGCCGTGTAGGTTGGCAGTCCAGGGGACTGGGATCCGCTTTACACGGACGAGCAGCTGCTGGGCGAGGAAGCGACGTCAGGGCACCAACCTTCGGCGGCGGCGATCGCCGGCATGGCGTTACAATTGACGGCGGGAGGGGATCCGTCAGCAGCGGCGGCGGCCGCCGCCGCCAGCAGCCGACACGGCGCCCGCCGGCGCGGCAGCGTCTCGTACTGCGACGGCGTCATGCGGCCGGATTCCAGCAACAACATGGGAATGGTTGGTGCCATGGGCGGCGCCCATCCGCAGCCTCACCGCGTCCAGGCTGACGGCGGCTTGGCGGCGCCGCCGTACAGGGGCCCCAGCGCAATGCAGATGACGCCGCCGCCGCCGCCGGACAGTCACAGCGGCCATCAGCACCCCAGTGTTAGTGGTGCGTTTGGACAGCCGCCGCCTTCAGGTGTCGCGGGAGGAGGCGGCGGCGGCTACTCACCGCAACGCAGGGGTAGCGGCAGTAGCAGCGGTGCCGGCGGAGGCGGCAACGCTGCCGCTGCCGACGGCGGGCGGCGCAGCGCAATGGACTGGTCAGCGGGTCTTGGCACCGCTGGAATGCCTGACAGCGGCGCTGAGCTGGCGGCGCCGCCCGCGGGATTGACGCAGCTTCAGCTTCAGCAGCAGCAGCACCAACCAGGAAGCAGCGGGTTTGGCGGCGCCGGCGGTGGCGGCTACAGCCACGGCTTCGCATCCGCTCAGGGCGGCGGCGCGCAGCAGCATCTTGGGGTGCTTCCGCTGATGAGTCAATCGCTGCCGTACGTCCACGGCAGCGGTGCTGCTGCGGCTGCAGCTGCTGCGGCTGCTGCGTCGGTGGCATCGGCGGCTGGGCTGGTGGGCACTTCCGACGGCAGCGGCGGCGGCACAGCTGGGCCCCATCATCACCCCGGGAGCCACCTAGCAGCCATGCAGGCGGGATCCCTTGGTGGGATCGCCCATGCACTCCAAGCCGCGCAGCAGCAGCAGCAACAGCAACAAGGCTGGGGCAGCGAACAGCATCACCAACTCCTACAGCAACAGCAGCAGCAGCAGCAGCAGCAGCAAGCCGCGTCCGGGCGCGCAACGTTGCCTGGAGTCGTTGCCGCCGCCGGGACGCCGTCAAGCCGTGCCTTGCCCATCGGCAGGCCGTACGGCAGCACTGACGGCAATCACACCGCCGCCATCACGACGAGGTTGCCGTCAGCGACCTCCATTACAGCAGCTGCCGCTGCCGCCGGAGGCAGTGCACTTTGGGGCGCCGCTGCGCCTTCCGCCGCCGCCAGCATGGAATCGGCCGTTGCTGCTGCAGCGGCGGCAGCCGCGGCAGCGTCAGGCAACACTTTCGCCGCTGGCTCGCCGTACTTGTACGGCGGATTTGGCAGCTTGCAGCCACCGCTTATGTTGGCCG